AAGATCAGAGGTGTATTAAAATCTGAGTTTGAAGACTTTGGTAGCTTAGCTCTGGGAGGAAATATGTCAATCATATTGGTTTGGAGGATTGTGAACTAAACATTGGCTTGTCTTTGGGGTGGCACAGTATTTATGGGTGGCAGTTTGTGAGCTCATCATCCTGTTAAAACTTAAAAATGGTTATGTTAAGGTGAGACTCAGTTCCAGTGGAAATTTTGTAAGTTTAATGGTCTGTTACTCTAGAAGTTTTAGTGGAAAAGAAATTTAGAATATGATTAATCAAATCAATATAAACAATAAATATTATAGTTTCCTTTCTGAGATCTTGGCTTTTCAATCATTTGTGTTCTTCTTCTATGTGCTTTGTTACAAACTACCACAATTGTTTTTTCCCTAGATGACTATATAGCTTTTGGGGCTGATGGATTGTTACTACATAATGCTTTATGCAGAGGGAAATAACACAAGTTGTAGTACAAAGTGTCTTTGGCCAATACCTAATTTATAGGTTTTCCTGGAAACTATTTGTTTATTCATTCATTTTGCAGTACTGGGAATTGAACTTGGGGTCTTGTATATGCTAGGCAAGTGCTCTACCACTTGAGCTGTACCCCCAGCAAATAAAGCAAATAAATGTCTTTGAAAGATATATATATATATATTTTTATGATACTAGGGGTTGAACCCAGGGTCTAGTGCTTGCTATGGAAGGCCCTGGCCCCCGTGGAAACACTTTAAAATGAGATGTGTAAGTACAAACAGCTTGGTGTGGTAGGAAGAGTGTGGTGGTCAGAATCTGAGTATTTTGGGCTGTGAAGTCTTAGTTGTTAGTCTTTTTTTTTTTTTTGTAGTGCTGGGGCTTAAACTCAGGGCCTTTGCTTTGAGCCACTCCACCAGCCCTATTTTTTGTAAGGGTTTTTCAAGATAGGGTCTCTTGGAGCTATTTGCCCAGGCTGGCTTCAAACCACAATCTTCCTGATCTCTGCCTCCTGAGTAGCTAGGATTACAGGAGTGAGCCAGTGGCACCCGGCAGTTGTTCGGCTTAAAGCCACATTTTCTGCAACTGTAAGCAACGCAGACCCACTCTCAGAGTTATTCTGAAGATTTAGGAGTTAATAGTGAGCACATCAGACCGTTGGTACTGAATTGACTCTGGGGAAATTCTCTCGGTAGTGAAGTCTTCATTTTTAAATTAGTTTCATGAAGCCAAACAAATGATCTAGATTAGTTACATGGTAGATTAAAGATGACTGAACGTCTTTCTTTTTTTTTTTTTTTCTGGTGGGATTGGAGTTTGAACTCAGGGCTTCTCACTTGCAAAGCAGGTGCTCTAATTCTTGAATCCATACCTCCAGTCCATTTTGCTATGAGCCACCAGTGCCCAGCAAGGTGACTGAACTTTAAACTCTGAACTATCTCTGGGAAAAGAAAACAATCCCAAAGTAGTATCAGTTTTGAAATGTCAGTGGTTGATATTCATGAACAAAAGGGACCAAATTTATACTGAGAGCACAGGAGGGGTGGGTTTGGAAATGGATTCTCCCTTCCATAGCCTTCTCCTGTTTTATGTGTACATACTTACATACTTCCTTTTTTGTTTTTTTTTCCTGAGGTTCTGAAACAAAAACAAAGTATAGTCAGGCTCTGTAAAGGCTAAAGGAGCTTTTGAATTCTTTCTAAAGAGGAAATTGACTTTACCTAACCAGTGTACTTCCTGTGTATACTGTATCCGTTAAGTGAGGCAGGACCTTGGTGATATACTGCTCAACTACAGAATTTCCTCTTGGTGGTTGGGTTTGAAATTTGTTACAGTGGTCAGACACGATATCTGTATTTATTATTCTGTTTGTTTTGTATATACAAGTCACCTGTGGCCTTGCTGAAAATAGTAATTCTGGATGGAGCCTGCGATTCTTCATTGCTAATAATATCAAAATTGTAAGACATCCTCTCTCTGGTTCTTTTTTATTTATTTATTTATTTATTTATTTATTTTTATCATTTTTACATTTACTCACATATGTATACATTGTTTGGGCCACCTTCCCCACCCCCATCCCTGCTCTGGTTTAAACAGTTGTGTAAGAGCCAAGTGTGGTGGCACACACCTCCCAGCACTCTGGAGTTTGAAGCAGGAGACAGGTGAGTTTGAGGCTAGCTGAGGCAAAGTCAGTGAGACCCTATCTCAAAAACAAAATATAAACAATGGGGCTGGGGCTGGGGCTCAAGTGGAATAGTCGAAGCCTTGGGTTCAATCTCCAGTAGTGTTTTAAATAAATAAATAAATAAAGCTAACACCCATACCAACAGCCTATTTCAAAATACGCATGAGATACAATGATTTTTCTCTTCTGTCTCCCGGAACAAGGGCTCTTAATCTCAGCTTTGTGGACTGAGGGCAGTGCATCTGTGTGCTGCAGAACCTAATGTGTGCTTGTGAGAAACGAGAGCTCCATCTGTACACTCCTCCCGCCCTTCCTCTAAGCTTCTGGTTCTGTCAGCCTGAGATGGAACCCTGTGATCCGAATTAAAACAAGCAGCCTTCATGATTCTTTTGCAAAGAAAGTTTCATAATTACTGCTCTAGGCAAGCCATGGTTTGGATCTGAGGGAATTTTAAACTTTTGAAATTGAGTGGTTTTTTTTTTTAGGGTCTGGATTATTCATTTTTCTGGGAAGAGGGTCTATAAATCTCTCATGCGGAGTCACAAAGAGTACCATTTCTCAAAAACGATTAAGTTATTGTCCCAGCTCTGCCTCCTGAGTCTTTTTTGGGTTATAAATAAATTCTTTTTTTGGGGGGAGGCAGTAAAGGAGTTTGAACTCAGGGCCTCACACTAGGCTAGGCTGGTAGGTGTAGGCAGGCACTCCATCACTTGAGCCATTCTGCCAGTGTTTTTTCATGTTGAGTATTTACAAGAGAGGGTCTCACAAACTATTTGCCTGGGGCTGGCTTTGAACCTCAGTCCTCTATCTCTGCCTCCTGAGTAGCTAGGATTATAGGTAGGAGCTACTGGTGTCCAGCTGTTAGTTTTCTTTTAGCATAATGAGGGCATTTTTTCCGTGTAGTGATTTTTATGTTTGTATTGTTGCTTTCTAATTACAGTATTTTCGTTGCTTCTTTTCAGTGAAATGAATTTTAGTCACCCTGTAATTAATTTTTAGTACCAAAACATGCTATTGGCAAGAACTAGATTATGCAAGTAATAACTTTTTCTTTTTTTGTGGAAAGTCAGGCTCTCTTGCTTGCTAGGCAAATGCTCTTCCACTTGAGCTGCAATCCCTCCCCTCACCCTTTTTTTTTCTTTTGAGACAGGACTTGTGGTCTATGTTGGCCTTGAACTTGTCCTCCTTCCTACACCACCACATCTGGCATAATAATTTCTAACATTTATTTATTGGAACAACGTGTCAGTTATTCTACCAAAAACAGTACATAGATTTTAATTAATCTTCACAGCAACTGAAATTGCTGTGAGTATGAAATTACCATTACTATACTCATTTTGTGAATAAGAAAATCGAGGTATTGAGCACTTAATTAGCTTGGTCAAATTGGCACATTTTCTGAACAGTGGAGCTAGGATTTGAGCCCTTTCTGATAGGATGGCCAATTCTTTGCAGGTCTGCAAATTTGTGCAAAATAATCATATTTGGTTTATCAGTGATAGAAGATGTGTGTTTATACCATGAAATATTACTTGGCTTTTAAAAAGAAGAAAATTTTGTCTTTTACAATAGCATTGTAAATGGAAGACATTATCCTAAGTGAAATAAGACAGACAGAAAAAAAAATACTGCCTTGTCAGAGCCAGCAGTGGGACCGGGCCTGTGTGATTTGGCATCTGGCCTTGTGAGAAAGCTCCAAGGAACTGAGGCAAAGGTCGATAAACGGCAACACTGCCTGATCTCACTTTTATGGAATCTAAAAAAAAATGTCACATTCATAAAGCTTAGAGTAGAATAGTCGCTAGCAGGGCTAGAGGTGATTAGTGGGAAGGGATAGTGAGATGTTGGCCAAAGAGTGCGTGTGTGATGAATAAATGTAGAGATGTAATGTGCAGAATGGGGACTCTAGTTAATGCTATATTTTCTGTTTGGAAATTGCTAAGAGAGATGTTACGCATTTTCACCCCATGTAGAAAGTTAACTATGTGAGGAGATGGATATATTAATTAGCTTGACTGTAATAGCAATTAATTGTGTACATGTATGTCAAAGCATCCCACTGTATACCTTAAGTATATATAATCTCAGTTTTGGGGGGGGACTGGTAGAGTGGTTCAAGTGATAGAACATGTGCCTAGCAAGCATGAAGCCCTGAGTTCATACCTTACTACCACTTTTGTTTTGTGTTTTTGAGACAGCGTCTTATATAGCCTAGGCTGGCTTTGTGTTTGGGATCATCCAGCCTCAGCATCCTGAGTGTTGTGATTTTAGGAGTGTTCCACCATGCCTACCTACATTAACAATTTTTAATAGTCTAAGGCTGGAGGATCTCAAGTTAGAAGCAAGCCTGTGTTGCATAGCAGGCTCCAGGCCAGCATGGGCTATATAAAGCCACCCCGTATCATTAAAAATTTTTTTAGCAGTACTGGGGTTTGAACTCAGGTCCTTGCACATACTAGACAGGTGGTCTACCACCAGTTGAGCCACACCCCCTGTCTCCCAGTTTTTTGGTTTTTTTGGGCAGTACTGGAGTTTGAACTCAGCCTCATGCTTACTAGGCAGGTGTTCTGCCACTTGCGCCACTCCACCAGCCTCCAGTTTTTTTTTTAATGTGAGATTAGCCTGTAATCTCAGTATTTGTGAAGCTGAGGCAAGAAGATCACAAATTCAAGGCCAGCCTGGGCTATATAATCAAACCCTGTTTCAAAAATAAAAAATTTTTTTGTATGAGTAGTACATGATAGTTGTATGGAACCTTAATTGTGAGTGATGCTTGTGGTTTAATTTTTTCTATAGATTCTGAATTTGAGTTTTTATGTTACTTCTTTTTAGATCAAAGAGAGTGCATCACAGACCAGGGATGTTCTCAAACAGCATTTTAATGATTTAAAGGGAACTCTTGGGAAGCTCCTAGATGAGCGATTGGTATCCCTTTTGCAAGAAGTGGATACCATTGAACAGGAGACCATTAAACCACTAGATGACTGCCAGAAGCTCATAGAACATGGAGTTAAAACCGCGGAGGACCTGGTCCAAGAAGGTGGGAGTCCAGTGAGCATATTAAATGTGGTTCATTCAGATTGACACTTGACTGATTTTGCAAGAAAACAGCAGGCTTCTTACCATCTGTGGGGTGCCTGGGATGTTCATATCTTAAGACAGTTTATAATAGGATGACATATATTCCTGAGATATCCCAGGGTAAGTGTAATTGAAGTATTTATTAGAATCATTTACAAATAAGAAGTAAATGATTTGTCCCAGATGATTCTATGATTATATACCTAATCAGTTGTTAACAATTTTGAGGTCATTTTGAATCTGTTGAAACATTTTTCAGTGAACATAATTTGTAGAATTAAAATTTTAGAATTAACCTTTTAGAAGGTTAAAAATGAGATCGATATTTATTTCTGAAATTTTATTTTTATATTCCTGTCTTTAGCAAGGTTTTTTGGATAAGTCATGTCCAGATATTGCTTTGCTATCTTCCTTCATGTCCACCTTCCTGCCTCCAACATTATACTTTGTACAACATTGTGCTCTGTTGGGTACATTAAATAAAAAGGTAACAGTTCTGTTCTTTGGGATACACAGTCCAGTGGGAGAGACAGACATTTGGAGCAAGATCTAAGATTTGCCTTAATGGAACATGGAGGAGGAAATGCTTCAGTCTGTCTAGAAGAGCATAGGGTAGCTCTCTGTAGGAGGAGTTTCACAGAGGCTTGAAGAAATTCAGTAAGCAGATAAAGGGAAAAAAGGTATCCATGATTCCAAAGAGAGGTGACATCAAGCATGTAATAAATGGCATATTCAGGGATCTATTGAAGTATTTTAAATAGCAGAGTTACATAGTCAGTTTTATTTATTATTTTATTATTGTATTTTTTGTTTGAACTTAGGGTTGTTGGCCATACTGGGGTTTAACTCAAGGCCTCAGGCTTGCTAGGCAGCCTCTACCACTTGACCCATGCTTCCAGTCCAACATTTTTTTTTTTAAATGAACCTGGATTAGAGAATTTAAGACTGGAGGCAAAAAAAAGACCGATTAGAATGTTGTGGAAGTGAGGGCTTGGGTGTGGCTAAAGCGGTTAAGGGCCTGCCTAGCAAGAACAAGACTCTGAGTCAAACCCCAGTACTGACCAAAAAAAAAGTAGGGAAAGTGATTCAGGTGGGAAGTGGTAAAGACAATAGCAAGTGAAGATGAAACAGGGCTGGGTTTAAGAGTTTTTTCCAGAGCTGGGAGCCTGGCTCAAGTGGTAGAGGCCTGCCTAGCAAGTGCAAGGCCCTGAGTTCAAACCCAATAAACAAAAGATTTTTTTTTCAGAGATAAAGTTGATGATTTTCCTCATCACTGATTGGTGAGTATATGGATACAGGATGGAGTAGAAGGGGAGGATTTGAGATGATCAAAACCAGCCTGTTTTTCACTGACCAGAGAATGTTGCCACCATTTACTGACACAGAAAATAAAGGAGGAGAAGAGGGCTTTAATAGGTACTTAGGCATTTGATTTTGGGTTGAGTTTGAGGCGTTTAACATTGAAGTATGGGTATGACATTTCAGAGAGAGATCATACCTGAAGATGTCATTGTGACAGTTAATGGCATATGCATCAAATCCATGGGAATAAGTAAAATCATCAGGAGATACTGTATAATGTGGGAAGAACAGGTGGCAGATAGGAGAACACTAAAGTATGCCAACATTTGCAGGGCAGTTGTGGGAAAAGGAGTCAGGGAAGGAAACTAAATTCCATCCATTCCACAGAATGAGTGCTGTGAGTGGCATAGAATAAAATGTGTGGCTAGCTCACAAGTTTGTCACTCCAGCTGGAAGTTAATCCCCTTTTGGTCCCACATAGAATATGTTAGTGTTATCTTTACATGCTAATTATAACCTTCAAGGAGAAGTGTTTATTTTTCACTGACCATAACAGTGCCTTTGTGAAAATTCTTTTTAGCAAGAACACAGAATAACTTTCCCTGGAGGCTTTGCATTTGGAAACAAACTCAGAAGCAGGTCAGCACAGGTCAGGAGTGTACACCCATCACCCTGGGGACTGTTTTCATTTTGGAAAGTAAATCCTTTAAGGCAAATACATATGTTTGTTATAGCACTTGATGCCTGATTTTTTTTATACTTCAGAAATACTTTTAATTTCAAACACTTTTTTCCTCACTCCTCCCAAGAGACAAAAACTTATTTATGAAATTTTGAGGATTTTGAGGCAGTGTTCAGTATGTCCCTTTTTCTTTTGGTGAAGAAAGTTACACGCTCTCAAAAAACTTGAGTAACTCCATGGCGCAGTCAGATGGAATAGAGTTTTGGAAGATGTAGAAGTTGGTCATTTTTGTACCCTCTATATAGCATTTCCTTTTTATTGTTCTTGTTGAATAATTTCTGATCTAATGTGTGATCTTTTAGGGAAATCTGACTGAATCATTTGGCTTTTTAAGACCTGTACCCTGGTGCTGCTGTCATGGTAAAATTTTGTTCCCATTGAAGATTCTGTAAGAGGGATGGGGAAAAGTCCCTGGGCCTTGTACTTTGTGGGAAATTGGTTGTAATACCAGATTGTTTGTGTAGAGCAGAAACTTTCAGCTTGGCAAAATATTACCACTGTGTATCCTTTTTCTTCTTGGGCTTACCAAGAGAATCACTTCCAAAATAGTTTCCGTTTTTACTTTTTGGGAAATTGACTGTGAAATCACTTAGGAATTGTCTGCAAAAAACCTGGAAATGCTCAAACCGTAGTACCACCGAAAAAAAAGCAAGAGAAAGAAGAAGAGAGGGAGGGAAAACTAGAGACCCATGCAAAGATGAGTTGTGTGACCATTTCTCACTCTTTCTTTCTGGCAGTACAAGATTTTGAAATCAGGGCTTTGTGCTTGCAAGATAGGTACCCATTTTTCATTGTACTAGTTTTCTTATTCTTGTTTGTAGGTGAGATCGCCATTCTTGGTGGTATAGAAGAACAGAATGAGAAACTGTGGAGTTTTGCCAAAAAGGCCTCCCACATTCAGTTGGACAGGTAAAAGAGTTTATGCCTTTTGGACATCTAAGCATTTAAGCTGTATTTTCTTTTATTCCCCCCTGTTAAAAATTCCTGTTAATACCAGGTGGCTCATGCCTATAATCTTAGCTTCTCAGGAGGCAGAGATAGGAGGACTGGGCTCAATGCCAGCCCAGGCTATCTTGAAAGTACCCACCACATAAAAGGACTGGTGGAATGGCTCAAGTGGTAGGGTACAAGCCTAGCAAGCATGAGGCCCTGAGCCCAAACCTCAGTATACTGAAAATTAATTAATTAATTAAGATAAAAATTAGAAATTCCAGTTAAGGAAGATAGAGAATTAATTTTGAAGGTTTCATTTCCCTTTTATCACTGTAAAATAGTTGTGATTGTAATTTTTTGCCTACAGATCCTTTTCAGTTCCAGTGTAGGAGAATGGTTAAATTCTTAAAATTCTAGTTCTTGATTTCAGCAGCACACATACTAAAACTAGAATGATACAGAGAAGATTAGCATGACCCTGCATAAAAAAAAAATTCCAATTGTATCATTGAAACTGAGTCTGGGGGCGGGGGGGGGGGGCCCGCAGGGGGGAGAAATGACCCAAACAATGTATGTACATGTGAATAAATGAATAAAAAAAAAAAAAAGAAAAAGTCATATTTCAGAAAACCAGATCTTTTGGTATAAATTTTACAGTTGTGTTCTTACCACCAGTTTTTCCTGTTTTGTTTTGTTTTTTGAGACAGGGTTTTGTTATATAGCCCAGGCTGGCCTTGAACTTGCAATGTTCTTGTCAGCCTCCTGAATACTAGGATTATAGGCATGTACCACCCCTTCTGACTCCCAATTTTTTTGTCTTGCTTATATGTACTTAATCTTTACGTAAAGTAAAGATTAAATTCCCTCACTAAAAAGCCCCTGACTGCCATGTGAGTTATTTGCCAGGGACTTCAGGATCCTTCTAGCATGTGACTGAACTAAAATATTCAACTCTTAAGTTAAAGTCTCATAAACACATGAGCTTTGTTTCCTCAGCTTACCAGAAGTACCTTTGCTGGTTGATGTGCCTTGTTTGTCTGCTCAGTTGGATGATTCAATTCTTAACATAGTGAAAGACCACATTTTTAAGCATGGAACAGTAGCATCTCGTCCACCAGTACAGATAGAAGAACTAATAGAGAAACCCGGAGGCATCATAGTACGATGGTGTAAGGTATGTAATTCAGAACTGCAAAAGTAGCTTCCACATTATGGAATTGGGACTTGGAGCCTTTAAAATTTTTTTTCATTAACTACCTTTAAATATTCTCTTCTCAACCAAAAATTTCTTTTGCTTTACAGTTAAAACAAAGTCAAGGGAAACAGGGAAGATGAACTAAGGTAGCTCTTCCAGATTGAAATAAAGAGTTTTGAAGGGGCTGGTGGAGTGGCCAAGTGGTAGAGCGCCTGCCTAGTGAGCGTGAGGTCCTGAGTTCAAACCCTAGTACCACCCCCCCACCAAAAGTTTCTACAAGGGTGGGGGTGTGTGTGTGGGTGCGCACGCTAGGGATCAAACTGAGGGCCTCACACATGCCAGGCAAATACTGTACAGCCCCTTGAAAGTCTTTTTTTTTTTTTTTTGTAGTACTAGGGTTTGAACTCAGGACCTTGCACTTGCCAGGGGCTCTACCACTTGAGCCACACTCCCAGCCTGAAAATCTTTTTCAAAATCTTTTTAAAGCTCTGTATCACATTGTTTCTCATTGCATATTTCCCAGACTTAACTTTTAGTAAATTGAAGATTTCTCCCATTTCTATTTATTAGAAAAGCCAAAAGATGATAGTGAATATTCAGTATCTTAATATTGTCTGTTCACTATTGAACTGATAGCTCTGACATAAGATTCTTAATGTATAGTTTCCTCATACTCTCAGTGTCACCCAGAATTCTGTGTATTAAATCTTACTGTGTATATGAGTTACCATATTTTAAGTAGAAACCATACCCAGATTAGCCACATAGTACTGTGGCTATTGACAAGTACATCACTCAAAGATAAGTGCCTGCCTTCTGGAAGCTGTTACTTACTTACTTTTTCACAGTACTGAGGGTTGAACTCAGCCTCATGCTTGCTAGGTAGGTACTCTACCATTTGAGCCATTCCTCAAGCCTGCAAGCTATTTTCTTAAATGGAATTTTATGTATGTATGTATGTATCTATTCATGTATTCATTTATTTATTTTTAATGAAGTCTTGATAAAGAAGAAAGAAGTAAGAATGCTTTTGTTGGCTCAAAACAAGGATTCTATTGGTGCCCACTTTCTCTACTACCACCATCACCACAAAAAACACAAAACAACAAAAAGCAACCATAACTAATGTGAAAACCCCAGAAGGGCTCCTATTTCATTTTTGTTCTTTTGCCTATCAGTAGATCAAGGGTCATTTCCACAATTTTGGGGGTGTTTTGTTTGTTTTTGGCAATACTGGAGATTGAACTCAGGGCTTTGTACTTTCAAGGCAGGTGCTCTACTGCTTGAGCCATACCTCTAGCCCATGTTTTTATGTTCTTATTCATGTTTCTTTGTGCACACATATGAAGTTTGTTCTAAATCATAAACCTAGCTCTAAAATTATGAAACTTAAGGTTTTGGGTCTATACACAATTAGGTGGTGTCAGATCTTTTTTACCAAACAATTGTGTGAATTTAGCTTTCCAATATGAGCACCTTTTTTTTTTCTTTTATTTATATGTGCATACAGTGTTTGGGTTATTTCTCCCCTCCTTATGAGTACCTTTTATTCCACATCTTTCTTTTTTCTTTCTTTTTTTTTTTTTTTTTGTGGGACTGGAGTTTGAACTCTGGGCTTCATGCTTGCAAAGCAGGTGCTCTACCACTTGAACCACACCTTAAGTCCATTTTGCTTTGGTTATTTTGGAGATGGTGTCTTGCACACTATTTACCCAGGCTGGCCTTGAACCTGGATCTTCCTGATCTCAGCCTCCCAAACAGCTAGGATCGCAGGCCTGAGCCACTGGCTCTCAGCTTATCCTACATCTTGACCAGTACTTGGCAAAGTCAGAGTAAATATTTTTGCCAAAGTGTTATCTTATTGTGGTTTTACATTGCATTTCCATTTTATAAATTAGGTTGAATATTTTTATATGTGTCTTAGCTATTGATACTTCTTATTCTCTTTTACTCATTTTTTCTCTTTTTTTTTTTTTTTTTTGAGATAAGGTCTTGCTTTGTAGTGTAGGCTAACTTAGAATTTGCTGTGTAGCTCAGGCTGGCCTGGAACTCATGATTCTCCTGCCTCAGCCTTTCAAGTGAGATTACAAGCATATACCACCATGCCCACCTGTTCTTTTGCCCATTTTGTAGGGATGGCTTGTCTTCTATTAATTTTTAGGAATCATATATATATATACATGATATCATGTATATATGATATCATGTATATATATTTCATAATGATATTAATTGTTGGTTAGATAAATGGTATAAAGCTGTGGAATACTTCTTTGAATGTTTTATCTTTGGCATTATTGTTTACAAAAGCATGCCATTTCTAAAAAAAAGGAAACAACTTTTTATATTAGACTGAGAATTATTAAAGACATAAGTCAATAAAGAAAAGAAAGGAAGACTGGTGGTATGACTCCAGTGGTATAGCATCTGCTTAGCAAGCACGAGGCACTGAGTTCAAACCCCAGTAGTGTCAAAAAAAAAAAAAAAAAAAGAACGGAGCTGGACATAGTGGCACATGCCTTTAATCCCAATCCTGGAGAATCTGAGACAAAAGGATGGCAAGTATAAGGCCAGCCTGAGTTACACAGTGAGACCCTGTCTTTAAAAAAAAAAAGGAGGAAAGAAAATAGTGATTGCATGCTTCCGCTGGCCTTCTCCAGTGTAGCCCATATTCAGCACATGGACCTGGGTGTTTGGTCCAGAAGGTTCCCATTTGTTCTCTAGTTTTTACTTAACATAAAACCCTTCTCCTTAGGTGGATGACGACTTTACAGCCCAAGATTACAGGCTCCAGTTCCGAAAATGCACTTCAAATCACTTTGAAGACGTATACGTAGGCTCTGAAACTGAATTCATAGTATTGCACATAGACCCCAATGTCGATTATCAGTTCAGAGTCTGCGCCCGAGGAGATGGACGACAGGAGTGGAGTCCTTGGAGCGTCCCCCAGATAGGTCATTCCACATTGGTGCCTCATGGTATGCTGTTAACCTTTTCATTCCTGAAGCTTAATATGTATACAAACACTTCTATTCTCTGCTAAGGGTGGTGCACTGACAACCTTTTTTCTAAAGATAAATCCTGAATTGATGAGAGCCTGAAACATATACTCAGATTACTTCATTTTAATTTTGTTTTCATCATTTCTTACCTTTGGAGTTCAAAAATAATGCTAAACAGATTCTTAGCATCACTTAAAAAGCAAAGATTGAAAATATTATATAGGACACTGATTTTCCAAACCCTCAATAAATACCTGGGTAGAAGGATTTTCTTAAAAAACTTAATTTTAAATTTCTGTCTCCTCCATTACTATTTTTAAAATACCTACTTTTCCCTCTTCCTTATTTTTAAGAGTCAGGGTCTTGTGGTTTGCCCAGGATAACCTTTAGCTCCTGGGCTCAATTAATCTTCCTGTTTCAACCTCAGGTAGCTGGGACTACAGGCATGTGCCACACAGTTGGCTACATACATACTCACTCGCTATTTCTTAATATGGTTCAGGGGATGGAACCCAGGGCTTTACAGATGCTAAACATGCATTCTACTACTGAGCTGTACCTCTGTCCCTATCAATTAGTTCTTAATCAGGTTGGAATAAGCTCAGATTAAACTTGAACCATGATTTTGTTAGGTGGGGAATAACATTTATTTGATTTTTCCATGCCAGAATTATGCAGTAAAATATGAAAATTTGTTTTGTAACTTAAGGAGCTGACCACAGTTCCCTGTTACTGAATATTTTATTTTATTTTATTAAACTTGGCTAGGACCCCTATGAGTAGTCACTTCCACTTCCAAGTTCTATTTAGTGTTTTCTTTTTTTTTTTTTTTTTCATTTTTCTTTTATTATTCATATGTGCATACAAGGCTGGTTCATTTCTTCCCCCTGCCCCCACCTCCTCCCTTACCACCCACTCCACCCCCTCCCGCTCCCCCCCTCAATACCCCGCAGAAACTATTTTGCCCTTATCTCTAATTTTGTTGTAGAGAGAGTATAAGCAATAATAGGAAGGAACAAGGGGTTTTGCTGGTTGAGATAAGGATAGCTATACAGGGCATTGACTCACATTGATTTCCTGTGCGTGTGTGTTACCTTCTAGGTTAATTCTTTTTGATCTAACCTTTTCTCTAGTTCCTGGTCCCCTCTATTTAGTGTTTTCTGTATGGAAGTTATTCCTGAAAAGATGCTAATAATTTTCTATCTTTTTGTTTTTAAAAGAGTGGACAACTGGCTTTGAGGGCTACAGTCTGAGCAGTCGAAGAAATATAGCGCTCCGGAATGATTCTGAGTCTTCAGGGGTTCTGTACTCCAATGCGCCTACCTATTTTTGTGGGCAGACATTAACATTCAGGCAAGTAGATTCTGAAACATCTGTCATGCCTTAGACAGTGCAGTGAAAGTGTGTAGAGCATGCACCAACCTGGAATTCAAAATATCTTGAGTTTATTCCATCATTTATAGGTAGTGTTACTTTAGGGAGCTTTCTTTATTTCTCTGTATTTCTGTTTTCTTATCTATATTCATAAGGTTATTCATACTAACTGATATACATAAAATGCTTGGTACTCAATATGTTTATGTCTTTTTTCCTCTTGGTAAACAGAAGTAAATAGAATACCTCATAAAAAATCAATCTGAAAAATTCAGAGACCAAGGTTGTTTTTTCCTTTGTCAATGTAAATCGTTGAGATAGGCACATTACCAGTGTAAGTATACCATGTGAATATTTCTCTGTAAAATAAAACTGAAAGCAGGCCTCTTCTGCTACCAACTAATTCTCTGTTTCTTTACCCATTTCTTCCTGTATTGGAAAATTTTTCTTTTTCTTGTATCTTAGCTGTGTGCTCTATGGTCATATTTCTAAAATAGTTCTTCCTAGAAGCCAAAGCCCAGTTTTGATTTAGAGCAACAAAGCTTGCCTGACTTTCACCATACTCAACTTAGTGTGGTAAACTCTTCCCTAAGTTTTATGTCTTGAGATGGATGGGATTTTACTGTGAATGCTTGTCCCAAGTCCTTCCTGTTTTCAGTCCCTTGTATAAGGCATGAAATATATCTGAAAGTTTTGTCTGAGCCAGTATTGCTATGTTTCCCTCCAGCCAAAACTTTTGAACTGTCAACAGTTGTCAGACACGCTAGTTAATCCTTTGTCTAACTTTTCTCACCCCTTGTGTTATAAAAGAACAATGACTTAACTGGAAAAACACCGAAAAGACAGAAAGGGGAAAAAATGAGCCTGTGTTAGTTAGCTTTCCATTAATATGATTAATAACTGAGACAATCACCTTACAAAGAGAAGAAGTTAGTTTTGGCTCACTCTTTTAGAGTTTCCAGTCCATGATTGGTTGGCTCCACTGCTTTTGGGCCTGCGATGAGGCAGCACATCATGGTGGCAGCATTTCTGCCACCTCCTAACAGCGCCAAACTGGGGACCAGTTCTTTAGCACATGGGCTTTGGGGGACACTATGCAATCTAAACTGAAGTTAAACCTAAAATCTAGTTAATTAGTCCCCAAGTACTCATGAGTTCTCCTAACTAACATACCCTTCTCTGTTTGTGTCTCTTGCTTACAGAAATACTTTCATTAGTGAATCTCCTGAAAAAAGGAACTTATGTGCCAGAGCTTCTTGATAGATTTCGGGTAGATAGCTCAGATAATGGTAGTGATAATACTTGCAGTTAATACGTAAACAGCTTTTACTGTATGCCAGGTACTGTTCTGAGCAATTGTGCTTATTCTTACAGTAATCTAATGAGGTAAGTGTGGTTACCCATTTTAGATAAGATCAGCATGTTCTGGGTGGTATGGCTGTAAACTAGCTATTCATTTTAGGAATGAGGAAACTAAGGCACAGAGAAGTTATTCACCCAGTGAGTACTGCGAGTCAGTGCCGAAGCTACGATTTAAGTCTAGGCAGTCTGACTTCAAGGTCTGCCTTCTCACTATATTGTCCAGTCTCAAGTGATCCTCCTGCCTTAGCCTCCTGAGTGTTAGGATTACAGACATGGACCACCATGCCTGGCAGAGACTATGCTCTTTTTTGGGGGGGAGGGGGCGGTACTGGGATTTGAGCTCAGAGCCTCATGCTTGACTGTAATCCTGATGCTCATCTGCTTTTTAAATTCTTCCTTTGTGGATGCAGGGGAATGTTTGATGTATTGTATACTTAGTTTTGTTTCTTGAATCAAGCAGTAAACATTTACTGAGTAAGGCATTGAAAATAACACAGACTGATTTAAATCCACTGCTTACCATCTGCTAACTATAGCCTGACACTTAGTAGGCCTCAGTGAACTGTTCTCTTCTTTCCCAAACAAGCTTGACGCGGCTTCTCTTGGCAGAGTGGTTAACTGAAATTCAGTTAAACTCAGTGTTATCTTAGCTAGACTTTGCATTTTTGTCATTTTTTTCCCCCTTGAGTAGCAAATGAAAGTATTTTCTCCCCTGTGTAAAGGAATTTCAGGCAGCTGCAATTGGATCAGGAGATGTGAATGGGAGGGGCAGCTGGGCATACCTGAATAAAGATAAACTGTTAAATTATTTGAGGGTACTTCAGGGCCTGGTCCTTCCAAGTGCCAATTTTTGTACCTGCTGACGTTTTTGGAAGGCTTAGAGCTACTAAAGTCAGAGAAACCAGTGTCCTAGTTAGATCTTAACAGTCCCGAGTGTCCACTCTGTTTTGGTGCCCATGTCTTCTGGCAACCCCTCCTTCCAGGCCTCTCTCCAATTTCCTGCCTGACATTTCTTTCTTTCTTTCCTTGCTTTTAACTTTTCCTTGTCTTATTTTTTTTTAAAAACCATACTTTTACTTTATCTTCTCTGTCACCTCTTTTTTAAAAAGCAGCTTCTTTTCTTTCAGTGCTTACAGTCTTCCTTAGTCCTAATCTAGAGCTGTTCCTGTCTTCTACAGATGGAGAAACAGAAGCACAGAGAGGCTTCGAGACAAGTAGACTTGTAGGATTCAAGTCCTGGCTAGGCAGGTGCATTATACTTGAGCCACTCTGTCAAGCCTTTTTGTGTTGGGTATTTTGAAGATGGGGTCTCTTTTTTGTTGGTAGGGCTGGCCTCGCACCTCAATCTTCTTGATCTCTGCCTCCTGAGTAGCTAGGATTACAGGTATGAGCCACTGGTGCCCGGCTCAAAGTCTGTGCTCTTAGCAAGGAACAGGAAGTGGGAATAAGTTAGCTAGTTTTTATTAATTTTCCTTCAAAGAACATAAAAATATAATGGCGTGCCGGTTACCTATTGCTACCCCAATACTTAGAGTCTTAGAACAATGGTAGTCATTTATTTTGCTCAAGAAATTGTGATTTTGGGCATAGCATGGTGAGAACAGTTTATCTCTGTTTCATGTGGTATTAACAGGGGCTGGTGGATTTATTTCCCAAGTCATGCTTGCTTTTTTTTTTTTTTTTTCCTTGTAGTGCTGGGTTTGTACTCAGGGCCCCATGCTTGCTAGGCAGGCACTCTACCACTTGAACCATGCCTCCAGCTAGGGTGCTTGAACTCAGGGCCTCCACCTTGAGCCAGTCCACCAGCCTTTTTTTTTTGTGATGGGTTTTTCAAGATATGGTCTCGTGAACTATTTGCCCAGGGTGGCTTTGAACTGTGATCTTCCTGACAGCTAGGATAACAGGTGTGAACCACCACACCTGGCTGCAATATTAATTTATTTAAGAAAGCTTAGTCACATGCCAGATGCTGGTGGCTCACACCTGTAATCCTAACTTGGGAAGCTGAGATTGGGAGGATTGAGGTTCAAGAACAGCCTAGGTATATAAATTGAGAAACCCCATCTCCAAAATAACCAGAGCAAATTGGACTAGAGGTGTGGACTGAAGGTTCTCATAGGTTGTTGTAAGAATTGGAAGAGGTTATTTATAGATAGATACAATCATGCATCACTTATGGATGGGGCAGTGTTCTGAACAGTGCATCATCACATGATTTTGTCATGGTGCGGACATCATAGAGTGTGCACTTGCACAAGTCTGGGTGGTGTGTAGCCTAATGTACACCTGGACCTTATGGTAACTTGTTGCTCCTTCCTAGCTACAAACATGTTCAGCATGTTACTGGTCTGCATGCTGTAGGCAGTTGTAACACAATGGTATTTGTTCCTAAACATAGGCAAGGTAGGGTAAAACACTAGGAATTTTTCAGCTTTACATAATCTTATGGGACTACCATCATATATGTGGTCTGTCATTGACTATAACCTTGTTGTGCGGGCATGAGTCTATAAAATACTTTAAATAGTGCATGGAATGTAGTAAGTTCTCAATTGTAAGTAGCTATTATTATTTATTTAGAAATGAACAATTGTGAAACTGCTGTTTTTAAGCTAGTAGCTATTAGGTATCCTGTTATATTTAAAAAAAGAAAAGAGGTAAAATACCTTTCTACCTCATTTACAGAGTTGAAACCGTGGGACAACCAGACAGAAGAGATAGTATAGGAGTATGTGCAGAAAAACAGAATGGGTATGAATCTCTGCAGAGGGATCAAGCTGTGTGCATTAGTACAAATGGTAAGCCTGAATAACTGTGTCCTTGAAACATATTAACTGCTATCATAAAATATGAAGATGTCCCAATATCCCACATTTATAAAACAGATGAGAAGACTTAGCTCTTCCTTTTCTTCTTTTTGCAGTTCTGGGGATTAAATTCTGGGCCTTGCTTATATTAGGCCTAGTGTTCTACCACTGAGCTACACTCCTTACCCCTTAGCAAATACTCTTTTAAACTCTTTACAAACAAATTTAATCTTTCTAGTATTTTTTATTTTTGGTATTGGGGATTTAACCCAGAGTCTCTCATATGTTAGGCAGGTGCTTTTCCACTGGTTTCTAACTGCTTTTTGAGGTGGAAAGTAGTAGTATCCCCATTTTAACAGATGACGGAAAGTAAGGTCCCACAAAGGAAATGTAGCTAGCAACTCAGAGCTCAGAAGCAACTGGGATTTGAACCAGGCAGTCTGCCTCTTGATTCTGTATGCATTGGTCATCTAAGTTCAACATACTCCTGTTGTAGACTTGAAAACTATAGAGAAAGATTACATTTATACATCTCTAGTGTTCTTTGGTTCCTTTTTCCACAGTAATCACAGTTTTAAAAATCAGTACTAAGACACATTAATATTTTATGGTATCAGATCAAGTATTAGGAAGAATTAAATTTTTATTCCATATGAAACAGTCTTGCCATTTCACAGGTTGTAATTTTGTAATAGTGTCCGTTTTGTTTTGATGCAATTCACATGAATAATACATAGTCTCTATAGGAAAAGAGTAGAACCCTGTACCAGAATTCTAAAATATAATTGAGGTTCTAACTTTTTCCTGCCATGAGGATGAAGGTTAATTAGCAAAGTTAAATTCATTTAGCATTCCGAATTTTTTTCAGAATTAGGAAATTGTCTGTTATTAACCATCTAGAACCCATTTCAGTTCTGTTACAGTTATTGCTCATAGGTAAATGACTTTTAACATTTTAGGTGCAGTCTTTGTCAATGGAAAAGAAATGACTAATCAGTTGCCTGCAGTTACCTCTGGATCCACTGTCACATTTGACGTCGAAGCTGTGACTCTAGGAACCACCAATAATAATGAAGGCGGAAACTTCAAGCTCCGAGTAACTATTAGCTCCAATAACAGAGAGGTGGTTTTTGATTGGTTACTTGATCAGTCTTGTGGTTCTCTTTACTTTGGATGCTCATTTTTCTATCCTGGATGGAAAGTGTTAGTGTTTTAGTGTTTTGGATGCTTGCCTCTGGTTTGTAGGGTTTACCATAGCATCCTCAGCCTGGTTTATTTAACTTAAATTTTAAAAAGTTGAATTCATCTCTCAGGCTGTTAGAAATGGAAAGTGTTTACTGGATTTATATTGTAATATTTTAGCAATAGGAGAATTGAATGGTGTGGAAAAAACCAGAAGCCAGTCAATTTTTTTATTATCATACTGTTAACTAAAATTTCACATTACAATAAAAATCAAATGAGCTTTAAAAGTCTGGGAAGATATAAAAATTCCATACCCTTCTACTGTACTTCTTCTTAAAGTTGTTTGTTAGAATAGGAAAATTTAATGTGACATCATTAATTTTATGAAACCTCCATCTGGATCCAAGGCTATGCAAAACTCTGGAATAAAAACAACAGGAATAGGGCTGGACTTGGTGGTTCATCCCTATGTAATCCCAGCTACTCAGGAGGCAGAGATCAGAAGGATTGAAATTCCAGCCCAGCCCAGGCAAAAAGTTACTGAGATCCCATCTCAACCAAACAGCTGGATGTGATGGTATACTCCTGTGATTCCAGCTACATGAGAGGCTGTATGTAGTAGGACAGCAGTCCAAGGCTAGCCTGAGCAAAAAAAAAAAAAAAAAAAAATCAAGAACAGAACAGCCAGAAGCCAGAGTTGTGTGATATGCATTTGCTCATTTACTCTCCACATGATGTCTTGCTGTACACCCCAGATTCGGGTATTTGTAAGCAGTGTTAGCTTTCAGCCCATGTTCAGTATGAAAAGCTTCACAGTTTTTGCCTTTTTTAAATAATGCCTGAGCAAGTGTTTATAATTGGCAAGTATTATCTATTATTTCCTTGCAGTTTGATCCATGGTAGGGTGGAGGATTTGTACAGGTGAAACTAGTCATGGAAGTAGCGCCTAGCAGTGCCTGCAGTTTCATATGTACGTGATCTGCAGTGTTCACATCCAGCCCCAAGGCTGTGCCTGTTACTGTTGGTGGGTGTCAGCTACTGTCCAATGTCATGTCAGTGGTCTCAATGGTCTTTTAGTGGACCAAATAAATATAGGGTAAATACTTGACCTATTTTTTTAAACTTAAATTTATGTAAAATATTTATTTAAAGGGCTTACTTATTAATGTTTTTAAAAAACAAAAACAAAAACAGTGGCCTTAACTTGCTATACCAGCCTATAGAATTTTTTTAATGTGAAATTTTTTCTCTTTTTTATCAGTAGTAGAAAAGTGGCAGAGCAGGTGTGATATTTTTGTAAGATAATTTATTTGGGGATTCGTGTTCCCTTTTGGACAATCATGACTTCTTCTCCTTGCCCTTCTATAGATAAGTAAGTAGCCTTTCACATATTTAGTGACTGTTAAGAAGAGACTGTAGAATGTAGCTGCCTTGCCAGCCCTCTGAAACAAAATAAAAAACTAAAAGTTAAATGTGTGTATTTTTGTTTTGTGAGATTTAATGAATATAGTTTTTTTTTCCCAGTACTGGGATTTGAATTCAGGGTCTCTGGTTTGCTAGGCAGGTTCTCTACCACTTGAACCACTCCACCAGCCATAATGAATCCAGTTTTAATCTGCTTTTCAAGAAGAGAAGAAGTTTCTTGTGGCTGTAGGCATTTTAATTAGACTTGTGAAAGGTTACAACATAACTCATACTGAAATCCTGCCTGATACATAACATGTGCGTATTAAATGTTGGATTGAATGAATGGATTGCTTCGATCCCCCTGATTTTGGTCTCCCAAATAGGATTACAGGCGTGAGCCACTGGCACCTGGCTGCTCTAGGCATTTTCATTAGATATGCCTAATGAAAATTAATGTGAAAGGCTGCTTGTACATTCTTATATTCTCTGTAACTCATATTGAACATCGTGCCTGACATACAACATGTGCATAATATTGGATTGAGCCGGGCGCCGGTGGCTCACGCCTGTGATCCTAGCAACTCAGGAGGCAGAGATCAAGAGGATAGAAGTTCAAAGCCAGCCCAGCCCGGGCAAATAGTTCTTGAGACCCTATCTCAAAAAACTAGCACAAAAAAAGGGCTGGTGGCTTAAAGGTGAAGGCCCTGAGTTCAAGCCCCAGTATTGCAAAAAAAAAAAAAAAAAAAGTTGGATTGAATGACTATAGGTGCCACTGTTATGTTCCAGGCACAATGCTAAATTTTCAAAATACACTGTTACCATTGGGCATAGTGGCACATGCCTGAAATCTCAGTTACTTGGGAGGTGGCGTCAAAAGGAGCGAGTTTGAGGCCAACCCCAGCAAAGTTAGTGAGACCCTATCTCAAAAACAAAAGGGTTGGGGGCATAGTTCAAGTGGTAGAGTACTTGAGGGCCTGAGTTCAGTCCCAAATACAGCAGAAAAAACCAATTATCTCATTTAGTCTACACATGACTTATGACATTGGTATTACTATCATTTGTTGTACTTCTTGTGAATGAGAAACTTAGGCTCAAGAGATGTAAACTAATCTGTCTGAGATCATGGCTAGTGACTGGTCTTGTCAGGACTCTGGCCTAGACATCTCTGTGGGGTCCCAGCTCTGTTCTTTGTGCTCAGGGCAGGGCTGGGTGCTAAGGGGAAAGCCCCAGCTATAGGTAACAACTGACGGGGCCAAACGAGGAAAGAATGACTACATTTGCCTGAGGAGCTCAGACAGCTCAGAGCCCGTTTTTAAAAGATGATTAAAAATTTGGTAAGCTCAGAAGTGGCATCCAAAGCAGAGGGAAAGGATTTGCAAAGTCACAATGGAGGAAACTGTCAGGGCATCTCAAGATCGAGATGGTGTGAGGCTGGAGTGAGGGGCAGAGGTGGAGAGAAGTCTGGAAGGAGAGTCTAGGGTCAGATTGGAAGGTCTTGGATCCCAAGTTAAAGTTAATACTAAATCTTTACAGGTAAAACTACTTAATTTCAAAAAGATGAATCAGGGGCTGGCAGAGCGGCTCAAATGCTAGTAAGTGTGAGGCCTTGAGTTCAAACCTCAATACTGCCACAAAAAAGTCAAAAATAAAGATGAATCAGAATGAAAGACAACAGTCAGTAGACTGTCATCCTTGAGAGACATTGTCAGTGGTGGAATGGCCAGTGACAAGAGGGATGCACACACAAACAATAGATTCTTGAATTAGACCCAGGACTGGATGACCCATGTGAGAGCAGAGGCTTAGAGTTGTTGCCTGACTGGTGACTTTCATGATTAAAGATGTGATAGTCCTACTCCTTTTTCACCAGAGTAGAATATAATGTTTACTTTTCAGTTGTTACTTTTACATGAGGGAATTGACAAAATGCTGTTGGCTTAAAGAAGAGTCTAGAAAATCTGATCATTTGTCTCTGGGTCTTGCTCTCTGTCCCCTGCAAATGCTGTATAAACTGCATGCAGTTTACCCTCAAATATCCCTTCATTCTTCACATCCAGTACTACAGTTGTTTATGCTACAGGCTTATCTTTAACATATCTCTTAGTATTATATATGTGTATATATATGTAATTAAAATGTACCAGATGGGGCCAAGTGTGGTGGTTCACACCTGTAATCCTAGCTACTTCAGAGGTGGAAATTGGATCACAATTAGAAGCCATCTCAACAAAATAGCTGGGCATGCTGTCATCATACCTACAAGCAGAAATAGGATTGGAGTTCAGGCCAGCCCAGGCAAAATGCATGACCCTACCTAGAAACGAAAGCAAAAAGGGTTGGAGGCATGGCTTAAGTGGTAGAACACTTGCTTCACAAGCATGAGGCCCTGAGTTCAAATCCCAGTACTGCCAAAAATAATAAGTGTGCCAGGTGGATTCCAGGGAGTTTGCAATGATAGCAGTGTAGTTTTTATTTATTTATTTTGCATTATTGGGGCCTGAACTCAGGGCCTACACCTTGAGCCACTCCACCAGCCCTTTTTTGTGAAGGGTTTTTTCAAGATAGGGTCTCACAAACTATTTGCCTGTGCTGGCTTTGAACCGTGATCCTCCTGATCTCAGCCTCTGGAGTAGCTAGGATTACAGGTGTAACCCACTGGCACCCAGCTCTTGTTTTTTTTTTTTTTTTAATTTTTTGAAGCACTTTATATTTCAAGCAGTATAGTTTTTAAGACCTCATAATTCCTGCAGAGAAATAGGGCAACTAGATAGCTACAAAAGCAAAATCCCATGGACAACATTTACAGTAAGACTAGGTGACAGGGGATCCCCTGTGAATCCCAAATTCTAAGCTCATGGAGACAAAGGACACTGCACAAACAGCTTCAAACCCTGTGTGACCTTGGTATCTGTGCAGGGAGAGGCAGAAAGGGCAGAGTAGAACAGAGAAATCCAACACAGCAGGCACTCCATGACGAACACCATGGAGCAGTTTGGAAATAGCACTCAAACCCAAGGGGCTTGCCCTGTAATACCAGGTGAGTGCAATGTGCCCATGGCCCAAGAGTGGAGGCTGGAGGATCCAGGCCAGCCTGGCCTGATAGTGACACACTGTCCCAAAAGATAAGTAGAAATAAAAACAAACCAAAAGACTGTTCCCAGGATCAGTGATTTCTCAGGACTCAGAACTCAGAAAAACTGTTCGATTATAGTTACCATGTAGAATCGCAAAAGGACAGGCACAGAATGGATTAAGTCATATCATAAAGAAAGGCCCAAAGGGTCTTCTCCAGGAGAGACCAGGCACATTCCAGTTTGGTTATTTTTTTTTTTTTTTGCAGTACTGGAGTTTGAACTCAGGACTTTGCACTTGCAAGGCAGGTGCTCTACTGCTTGAGCCACGCTCCCAGTACCACATTCCAGTTTCAGTGTCTTATCTTTCTTCATTCAGTTTGAAGTCTTTCTGGATCCTGTATGATGAATTTCTATTGAAATGTGGACATTTTAGCTGAATGTGGTATTGCATTTCTGTGATCCCAGCACTCAGGAAGCTGAGGCAGGAGGATCGCATGTTCGAGGCCAGCCCTCTCAAAAAACAAAAATGGCCATTTTTGTGTTGTGGTACCAGAGTGTGAATCTGATTAAATCTTTCTCAGCTGGCTTTTTGATACCATTCCAGCAGGGAAAAGTGGTTCTTCCCCACTCAGCCGCCATTGTCAGCCATGTGGAGTTCCCTGTTGCTGCTGGCTGTGGTGAGCTCCATTACAGTCCAGTAGAGGAACTCACTCCTTCTAAACCACAGCTTCTAGGGGTGGAAGTCCAGGCTCCCCACAGTCTTCATTGACTTTTCTGGTGGTTGGGCATCAGACTGCCACTGGATTAAAATTACCACAGTTTTGTACCTTAGCACAACTGAAATTTATCGTTATGGTTTGGGGGCTGTATTTCAGAAATCAGGGTGTTGGCAGGGCTGTGCTTACTCTGCGGGCTCTAGGGGAGAATCCTTCCTTGCCTCTTGCTTCTTCTCCTGGCTTCTGGCATGCCTTGGCGGTGGCCACATGACTCAAGTCTCTGCCTTTGTCTTCTCGTATAAGCACACTTGTCTTGGACTCTGAACCCACCAAGGATGACCTAAAGATCCTTATTTATATTTCAAAGACTTGTCCCAAATAAAATCAGTATTGGATGTGGGGACATGGACATGTCTTTTTGTTGATGGCGCAATGGTGTTTGGCTAGCGTAGAGTGGTTATTGGCTCCAAGGCTTCTGACTTACCAGGCTGTCTCTTCCCTGTCCTTTGGCCAGAAGGGTTTGGTTTTCTGTTTTTTCTTTTTTTTGGTGGTACTGGGGTTTGAACTCAGGGCCTGCTGTGCAGGTGCTCCATCACATGAGCCACTCCACCAGCTCTTTTTATTTTGAGATAAGGTCTCAAGAGCTATTTGCCTGGGCTGGCTTTGAACCTCAGTTCTCCTGATCTCTGCCTCCCAAGTAGCTAGTATTATAGGCATGAGCCACCAGTGCTAGCTTGTTGGGTTTTTTTTTTTTTTTTTTTTTTGCCTGTGCTTGTTGGTAGCCAGGTTGCCAGTTAAAAGAAAATAAAAGAAACTCACCACCACAGCTGGAGGTATGGCTCAAAGCCCTGAGTTCAAACCAGTCTCATCAAAAAGTGTGTGTTCTTATGTTTAGCTGTCTATTTTTGAGGGCTTTTAGCAGAAGGAATGGGAAAACTAATACACCATCTCAAAAGCAGAGATTCTGATGCTATATAATAAATTTTAATTTCAAAACAATAGAACAGTTCATATGGAAATAAAACACTTATGAAGGGTTTCCCTGTAGAATGGAGTAGAAGCAGTTAAGGTCCATTAAGTAGAAAAGCATTAGTCCAAGATCAAAAAGTGAGATTTAGTCAATTGTTGATAACTATGGTGACAACTATGGCTGACATACTCATTTAAGATCTCCTAACTGGCTCAGAATCACCACACACACACAAATCAGTGCCAGAATATATCGTTTGCTCAGCCTACATCCAGGGTTGCATTTCATGTTTCCAAGTGTTGAATCCTCTTTCTTGGATTATTTCATTCTTTGATTCATTCCTGTGCTGGGAATAAAACCCAGGGCCTTATACATGCTAGGCAAGCACTCACCACTGAGGTACATACCCTGGACTTACTCCCTTCTTTCAGTGGAGCACTTTCTCCACTTCTTGGGGAAGCTTGTCTTGGAAGTAAATTTTTTGAGAATATAAATCTGAAAATCTTTTCTATTTTACACTGCACATATATGGATAGCTAAGAATTTGAATGCATCACTCCACTGTTCTTTAGCTTCTGGAATTGAAATCCGGATGCCATTCTGAGGCCTATTCTTTTGTATTGTTTTTTTCTCTTTGTTCCTAGTTTTTATAAGTTGGTCTAATGCCAGCTGTGTAACTCACTTAACTGCTGACCCTCTGAGTATTTCAGTGTGTGATATCTGCTGTAAACCCAAGAGATTACAAATTCCTTGAGGCTTTACATCTTCTATAGCAGTTGTTCTAAACCCTGGAGGCACATTGGAATCACCTGGAGAGCTTTTAAAACTTGCAGAAATCCTCACTTAATTAGTCTCAGTTGACATGCTTTCATTGTTTAAGAAACTACATGATTCTATTGTAAAGGCTGATTTAGCAGTAACTTGTTCCAAAGCAAATAACAGTTTCCATAGGGATTCTTTTGTACTTCTAAATTTACTGTTTAAACATTAAGCTTTAGGAGTGGCTCAAGTGGTAAGAGCCCTGCCTAACAAGCTGAGTTCAAACCCCTGTACTGCTAAAAAACAAAAAAAGCCACTATGCTTTATTCTGAAATTATCCTTTCTTTGTAGTCTAGTCTTGTCATTTTAAAAGTGACAGATGACAGGTTTGTTTTGTTAATCTTATATTAACAAAAGAGAAATTAAAAATACATTTAAAGTTATACTTGATGAAATCTGAAAGTATGGGACCTCCTTAGAAATCTTAATCTATCAGTATTTTATACTTTTGAACTAGACTAGTACTTTTCGTTTTAAAAGATCTCAGATAATTTGACAAAAGCTTTTATTACATGAAGTTTAATGTTGATTAAAGCAAAATCCTACAAACCTCAGTACCAGTTGGGGCAGGGGATTTGTCAAATGCCAGTGACTCACACCTGTAATTCTAGTTATGTGGAAGGCTAAAATCAGGAGGATCGTGGTTTGAGGCTGGCCTGGGCAAATAGTTCTTGAGGCCTCATCTCCAAAATAACAAGAGCAAAAAGAGCTGAAGGTGTGGCGCAAGCAGTAGAGTGTTTACCTAGCAAGTCCAAAGCCCTGAGTTCAAACTCATTCCTCCAAAAATTCTTTTCTACAATTGTTCATATATAAGGCAATGCTAGAGTATATTCTTTGTTCTTAAAATAGTTTAGCATGTAATTCTTCAGAGGTGGGAGTGGAAGGCTGAAGTAGGTCAAGTGTTTGTAGGGCAGGAAGTAATACTACTTATTGTGCTTGAGTGAGCTCTTTAGATCCCATTTTACATTTAGGGAAACAGTCAGTGTGGTTAACTAACTTTGAGTTATGAACCTACAAATGCACCAAAGTTGGGATTCAAACCCAAGTTTAACAATTCCAAAACCCGTATTCCATCACTCCCTGATAGCCAAGACATTAGTAAGTACCGAACGTGTTACTGAAACAGCTTTCTAGTCTGTAAAATTCAAGGATAGGACAATACCTGGCTTACTCATCTTTGAATCCCTAAGCCTTGCTTCCTTACTGGGCCCTTAGTGTTTAATAAGTGCATAGGCTCTCCAACCCAAGTTACCCACATGGTGATTTCCTCGAAGGCCTCCAGAAGAGACAGCTCCTCAAGTTAGAAGAGATATAGGGATAGAACTTTTAGGAAAATTGTAATTGATTTAGTAAGGAAAGGAGCTATGGTTATTAACCTATTACAATACTAATTCGTAGATTTGTTAAAATATAAAAATATAACTCCAGTCCCACCAAAAAAGTTTCCTTGGTGCCTACACCTTCACCTTTTCTCTGGAATAACAAGCAGTTATTCCAGAGAAAAGGACTATGTACTTACTTAGGGACAGATAGAAGTTAATGACAACTTTTACCTCTAAGCCCTGGAAAAATCCATGTCTAATTCAATTTCCTGTTCCCAGTGTTTGGGACAAGTACTGTGGTGCATATATAGTCTCAATCAGTGAGGGAAAAGATGGTCACTAGTGATAGCATGCTCAAAGAGCCATGGAAGCTATCACGGTCATTTTACAGTGGAGTAGATTGGACACAAATCATGATTCCAGTACTTGGTGCATATGCAGGCTGCCCCTGCAGCTTTGACACAGATAAAACGACAACAGAGTGCTCACCTAACAAGTACAAGGCCCTCAGTTCAAACCCCAGAAGCCACCACCCCAAAAAAAAATATAGCCCAGTATTAGAATATCTGCCTAGCACATGCGAGGTCCTAGGCTTTAATTCCCAGCACCATGAAATTTATATATATATATATATATATATATATATATATATAAAAAACGTGTGTATGCATAACCATGTCATTGTCGTAAATGACTTCACATTTTAAAAAATTCCGTATTAGCTGACTCATTATTTGATGCTACTATACTTTTTGGATCTTTACTATTGTATCTAAATCTTTTATTTTTTTTTTATTGGTACTGGGGTTTGAATTCAGGACCTTACACTTGCTAGGCAGGTGCTCTACCACTTGGGCCACATCTCCAGTCCTCTAAATATAAATGCACATTTTAACAGTGCCTATATAATGACAAAACAACAAAAAAGCAAAACACAACTTTTATATTATTGAACTTTATGTACAAAATCATTTGATTTCAAATAAACATTTAATGTAAAAACAAATGTTCTTTTAAACTGAATTTTTTTTACATCTACTGTACCATTCAAATGCTTTATCATCTTACATGATTTCTGCAAAATCTGTTATCAGGGGTACATATAGAAAAGCATTTTTTTTTTTATAAATAGAAACAAAGGGTTTTTTTCAGCTTTTATTATAAGATGACATAAAAAGTTTACTCAACAGAAGTAATTTCATTACTATTTGGGGGAGGGAATCACCAACTTTTTGTGCAAACAATGCTAGCCTTCTTTTAAGCATTAAGAGCATAACTGCTTAAGAAATGACATAAGCAATAATTCTACACCTACATCTCCCCTAAAATAATCTATTTTTTTTTCTTTACATATGTGCACAGCTTTAGCAAATTAAAGCCCAAGAGAAATGCTGGAAACCCACTACCCAGAGGCAAAATGGGAGTTTATGGAACTCCTCATGGGGAGAGTTCACCAGTCAAGGAGTCTGTAATGAAAGCTGCAGTTTCCCTCCTTCCTATTTTTTCAACACAAAAGTCAATGACTAAGAACTTAATACTGGATGACAAATCACAGCCACACTATTAGTTAAATAGCCTCACAGTTAAACACATCTTAAAGACCAACCAAATCAGTATTTACATTTTATAAATTTCTGAAGACACCATTAGAAAGCTTATATATCCCTTCACTAAACAAAATAGGGAACTGCATCTGATGGTGGTGGAATGAAATTTAAAAAAAAAAAAAAAAAAAAAAAACCACCTGTATTTACAGCAGCATTGATCCTTTATAAATAAAGAATATGAAAATGCAATATCTTTAAAGGATAATAAAAAATTGAGGTGATGTTACTCAACCACAGTGCTTGGAGTTGGAGTAAAAAACCTATTGGTGCTTATTAATGTGCCAGTAGTGAAACCGCTTTCTGTTGGAGAAAAATCCAACTGCAAATATGTGCGTAAAACACATAACACAGGGCAAAATTGCTCAAAACAATTCAAGTCAGCTTATCTGTATTGAATATTCTAATCATGAGATACATTACAAAGACATCCTTGCAAAGAAAAAAAAAAAAGTCTAACATTTTCTGGTTCATTTTTACAGAACACTGTCCCCCTGGCCACAAAGTGGCATCTTAAAAACCTTAAATTTGTTCTTCCCTTGGTTCACAATCCTAATAAAAGGATGTGTACGGCTGAAGTTTTCCATGTAATTACCTAATTGAAAAAGGAAAACCAAAATGTTCATGTTTAAAAAAATATGCTGGGTAAGCAATGCACTAAAATTATCCACATGAAAACAAATGGTCAGTATCGTTATAAACCAACCTGACATCTCACCGTCAACAATGTGAAAAATTAACATGTTCTCAAACAGGCGTAAGATGAAGAAGTGCTACTTTAAAATTGTAAAATAAGCTTATGTAAAATATCTTGCATTGTAATTTTCATTCTAAATTTATAAATGATTTCAAAAGCAAGGATCATGGTTTGGTTGCAAGTATTAATGCAACAATTTCACAAAATCTTCAATTTTCTAAAAAAGGGAGTTGCATTCCAATTTTCCCTCCCCAAGAAAATGTCTCACAATTACAAAGTAGAAAAAACAGCCAGTCACAAATGCAAAAAGCATAATTTAAATACAAGAAATAATTTCTAGATTAGTTGAATACATTTCGTGAGACAATGGTTGCAGTTAGTGGTACAGTGAAGTACTGCTTTTCATGCTCGAACTGAAATAAGTTTTAATGACAATAAAATGGATAAACATGTAATGTTGCACAATGAAGTAAAGGAGAACCCTGATATAAATATCCTTGTTGAAATCATTTACTTCATCTAACAGTGCCTGTTTGGAAGCTATGATTTAAAAAGCAAAACACAAAAACACAACTCTTTCTAGAGGCTGAATTCCCTCGAATGCAATTTCAGTGTTTGTCCACACCACGGGGTTAGCTCTTTTCAGAGTTTTTGTTTTTTGCTCTGTTTTGAAACCCCTGAGACGCCGTCTGTTTCCAAAGCTTTTTCTTTTGAGTTAATTTCACTAAATCCATTTGCTGTCCCAATTTGTTCTTCAGTTATTTCTTCATTTGTGGGGGAAGCAGATTCTCCCTTTTCTAATTTTTGTTGCATTTCACGGAGCTTGGTAACAGCTTTGTCTATTGACATTATGCTAATAAGATTAAAGTCATGCATGCTGACTAGATGAAGCATGAAGTTTCGACATAAATTCTTCTTAATTATTTTCTGTCCATAATTTTCTACAAACAGCATACAGGCATGATTCATTTGATTGTCAGCAATAAACCTATATAATAAAAACAAAACATTAATGATGCAAAACACTTACAAAATACAATAATGATAACCATTATAAAACAGTAAAAACTATATCCCAATCTAGTACATTACCATTTAACAAGTAATAAGACTACAGTGAAACTGAGAGCCAATCACCTGAGTCAGCTGAACATTTTAGAAACTTAAGAAGTGACTTAATCTCAGCAGACCTTACTCAGGTTTCATTAGAGTAGTCAGAAATGTTTTTGCTATTGAAATTACATACAACAGTTTTTAAAAGGATGACATGTTCTCTTTTATCAGTACCATGTCTATTAACTCTATATGTACTGACAATTCCTCCCGTTATTTCTTCTGTTGATCTTGACGTACTTTAAGATGCAGTGTTTTAGCCAGGTGCCAGAGGCAGAGATCAAGAGGATTGTGGTTTGAGGCCAGTCTAGGCATATTTTGAGAGAGCCTCTCTTGAAAATACCCAACACAAAAGAAGGCTGGTGGATTGGCTCAAGTGGTAGAATGCCTGCCTATCAAGTGTGAGACCCTGAGTTCAAACTCCAGTCCCATCAAAAAGAAAAAAAAAAGGCTGGGGGGAGGGGAGGGGAGTAGGATCTATTTTAGAGATAAGGCCTCAAACTTCGATCCTCCTGATCTTAGGCTCCCAAGTAGCTAGGATTACAGGTGTGAGCCATGGGCATCCTGCCCGCATCCCCCTTTCTTTGTTTCTTTTTTGGTATTACTGGAGTTTGAGCTTAGGGCTTCCTGCTTGCAAAGCAGGTTTTTACCACTTAAGCCATACCTCTAGTCCTTAATTTCATTTCTATAAAATGAAAAAACCTTGGATGTTTGAGCTATACAAGAAAAACATAAAGCTGGGCGCGAGTGGCTCATGCTTGTAATCCTAACTACTTATGGATCTATAAGTCATGAGATCCTATCGAAAAAACTCATCACAAAAAAGGGGTGGTAAAGTGGCTTTAGGTGTAGGCCCTGAGTTCAAACTCCAACACTACAAAAAAAAAAAAGGATCTTGTGTATATAGAAGAAAGCAGATTTTTAGGAAAAAATGGCTACGAACATACTTTTAGTCACAAAGGCATGAGAAATAAGAATGGTTGTACCCTGACCTCATCAAATGAGTGAACATGCTGAAAAGCCACGTATTTTATTCTGAATAATTAAGCTTTTATTTTGTGTGACACTTGGGTTTGAATTCAGGGCCTCATACTTGTTAGGCAGGTACTCTTACTACTTGAGCCATTCAGCCAGCACTATGAAACAAGTTTTGAAAACTGATAGAGCTGAACTCTGTTATGAGTTCAAACCCCAGTGCTGCCAAAAAAAAGAAAAAAAAAACCAAAACCCTGTGATGAAGATTGTAATAAATTTTGAGAATGTCTAGGTACATAGCAAATGGTATATTATTCTTGTATTCCCTGGCAATAAAGGAAGAAAGCAATTAGGTGCCTGTAGTCCTAGTTACTTCAGGAGAGTGAGGTGGAAGGAAAGTTTAAAACCAGTAGTTTAAGACCAACCTGAGCAACAACAGAGAGATACTGTCTCAAAAAAAATAAATGACAGAAGATATATTATAGTAATCTAATGAGCAGTCAGAAATTATTGTCTGCCAGGTGTGGTGGCTCATTTCACAATATGTGAAAGAGTTGAATTCAGTTTAACTAGAGGAAACATTGAAGTTTTACTCTTTTTTTTCTTTTTAATATAAACACTTAAAAGAAGATGTCAAAGGCCCTTCGAAAAACCCAGGTTTTCCTAACATGCCTACTAAGCATCACCATTTTCACTATGTAATTATAGTATTTTTGGACTAGGAAAAGATTTGAGACACATACCTAAACCAGTGGAAGCTAAAATAAGATTCTAACATAAGTTGATTAATAGAATGTAAAGCAGCAAAAAGAGTATTAATATTGGAATATTTAATTTAGAAATACTCTACCCATGCTTCATGACATGGAGATTCCATAGTTTCATTACTTCTTTCTCTCCTTCATTTACATCAGAAAATTCTTCAATTTGCTAAAAAGAAAAAAAATACTAAATTTAAGCAGAACATAATTGGCATTTCAAGGAAAAAATTGTTGAGTATCAAAAACAAAGATTTAGAATTCAAAATAGCAAAGAGGTAACATTTTTAAAAATCAACATCTAGTTAAGTATATTAGGGATAGGGATGGGGCTCAAGTGGTAAAATGCCTGATTAACAACTGCAAGGCACTGAGCTCAATCCACAGTACCACCAAGGAAAGAAAGGTGTGGGGGGGGATCATAAAATATAAAATAGTTATCTACAAATATATAACATATCCACTACAAAGTCACATGAAAAATATATTTGAATTTCCTTTACTCTGAATTTTTTTTGGCAGTACCTGGGTTTGAACTCATGGTCTACACCTTGTGCCATTTCACCAGCCCTTTTATGTGTTGGCTATTTTCTTTTTTTCTTTTTTTTTTTTTTGAGGTACTGGGGCTTGAGTTCAGGGTCTTCACCTTGAGCCACTCCACCAGCCCTATTTTTGTGAAGGTTTTTTCAAGACGGGCTCACGAACTATTTGCCTAGGTTGGTTTCGAACTATGATCCTCCTGATCTCTGCTTCCTGGGTAGCTAGGATTATAGACATGAGCCACCTGCACCTGCTTACTACTCTGCAACTTTTTAAACGATACAATTATAAAAACTGTGCTGGCAGAGTGGCTCACGTGGTAGAATACCTGCCTAGCGAGTGTGAGGCCCTGAGTTCAAACTCCAGTACTGCCAAAGAGATAACAATTATAAAAACTGTGTATTCTGGGACTTCATAAAAGCTCCTTCACAGGTCAAAAGCCTACTTTAGCTAGGCATAGTAGTGCATGTCTACTAAAACTCAAGAGTCTGCTGAGACAAGGACAGTGAGCTCAAGGATAGCCTAAGCTACACAGCAAGTTCCAGGCCAGCCCTAAGCTATGTATCAAGACCTGTTTCAAAAAAAAAAAGTCTAGTTCATATTAAATGAGGTTTCAAACACTCAATCACAAAATTCTAAGATGACTGCCAAATAATGATGATGACAAAGATAATTACTGTAATGGTTTTTTCTCTTAGCCATTCGGGATCTTTTTCATCTTCACTATCTACTTCCATTTCTTGAGGACGGAGAGGTAAGCAGGTATCACTGTGGAAATACAGACGATTGTGGCCACTACTGTATGTTCTTTGCTGTTCCACTTCTCCATCTTCAGATTCAAGAAATTCAGACATGCTTGCTTTTGTTCGTTTTGGCCTAATGAAAAGAAATAAATGTGATATAACGTGGCATCTACATCTATATCATCTAAATACTTGGTTGACATCTGTAGTAAGTTACAATATTAATATTTGATAAAACTAAGCACACAAAAGTGACTCTCCCCAAATTATTTTTCTATGCATAATGCAAAGCACATTTAACATATCAATTTTTTTTCACAGCTGGAGATTGAACCCAGATCCCTGAGTGATAGGCAAGAGCTCTATTCCTGCATCCAAACCCTACTTTATCAATTTAACCCCAGTTTTTTGTGTATGAAAAATAAAAACCTAGGAAAAAAAAGGGAAAATGGTTTAAAAAGGATAAAAAGGAACAGAATACTAGAAGGCACACTAAGAATAATCATGCATATAAAAATCCTGTATGTTGCCGGGTGCTGGTGGCTCACACCTGAAATCCTAGCTACTTGGGAGGCAGAGATCAATCAGGATGATCGTGGTTTGAGGACAGCCCAGGTAATTAGTACAGGAGGATCCTATCTCCAAAGTGCCCAACACAAAACCATTGGTGAGGGGCTCACTTGGTAGAGCACTTATCTACCATGTATGAGGCCCTGCCCTGAGTTCAAACCCCAGTACCACACACACACACACACACACACACACACAAAATCCCGTATGTTGCCAGATGTAGTGGTGCATGCCTAAAACCAATCCCAGCACCTCAGAGGTAAAGCAGGATGATTCAGGCCCTGTCTCAAACAACAAAATGGAACAACAAAAACAAACAAAAAAAATCCTGCATACCAAAATTGCATAATATAACACATGTATATTTACAAAGTGGAAAACCACAATACTGGTTATACATATATACTCAACCCTCCCGAAATTTTTTTTTTTTTTTCAGTTTTACAAAGCTAAAACTTTAGTGCTGAGGCTATGACTCAAATAGTGCAGTGCCTACCTAGCAAACCTCGAGGCCCTGAGTTCAAATCCCAGTGGTGCCCAAAAAAGGTAAAACTTTAATCTCAGCAATCCATCTGCTACTATAAATATACCACCAACTGGCTGTAAATCCTAATGGAAGGCTAACCAATCTTACGTACTACCTAACAGGATACTATTATGTGAATGTATACCATTATGGGAATACTAAGTGACAGGGATACAACTCTTTAAAAGTAGATGATAATATCCCTTTTGTGCAGGTTCCTATTCAGTAGTAGAACACTGGGTTTGAATATCTGCAGCATAAATAAATAAACAAATAAATACAACTTGGAGGAAAAAGATGAAAAGAGGAAATGGGGCAGGGGGAGAAAACCTATAGAGGTTAAGATATAAAATATTGTATCCTACTCCAGAGACTTACCTAACATTGAAATAATGATCTCCACTGAACTAGTTTTGTTTGACACTCCCCCCAACTTAGTTCCTCCAACATCATCAATAAAAGCCAGAAAACAACCTTTTTGTGTTTATTGGTACTAGGGTTTGAATTCAGGGCCTCGAGCTTGCTAAGCAGGCGCTCTACCACTTCAGGCATACTGTCAGCCCGAAAACAAACTTTTGTTGTGACCTTTTCACCTACCTGCACACAAGAATGTGTGTTATAGGTGTTCTCTTTACTGGTCCATTGCGACTAAAAGCAAATCCAGGTTGGCGATGAATATCCTGAGGATTTCCTGCATAGGAGCCATCGTAACATTCATTGATAGAGACATCTATCCTAGCACCTTTTGGATGATACTATAATAAAAACAGCAGGATGTTTAGGTAAAGAAAATATTATCCTACCCTAAAAATCTACTCATCTAATTTAACGAATTAAAAAGGATTTATGGGTTGTTAATGTTTTGAAAACTAATACAAGTCAGGTGTACCAGCTTGGTGAAGATGTTAAAAAAGAAAAAAAAAGTGTTAAAAGTCTTGAGTACCGTTTATTGACTTGGTGACTGTAGAAATTATTTCTTACCCAAGCAAGAATAAGGCAATTACCCCTTCATTCAAAGAACTGGTATAAGGATTACATGAGTCAATAAAGAGAATACTTTACAAAATCTTAATTACTGTTCTAAATACTTATAAACTGACTCATTAACAATAATCCTAGCATAAAGCAATCTATTAAATGCAAAAATTTTGATATTTTTAAACAAAGTTCAATTTCTCAAGTCAGATTGTCTTATATTTAATGCATAAGAAAAAAATGGTGATTACTTACAACATAATTGAAGATAAATCTGCTATGGCAGAGTTTTAGATGCTTGAGTAAGCTATAAAGCTTGCGACAATTCAGAGTGCACCAAGGACAATGAAGGTCATCTCTTGCTTCAGTTTGTTGTCTTGTATTGTTGTTATAAAGGAACTAAAAAACAAAAACAACAAATTCACAATTTATACATCTCCATGTATTTTGTTTAAATAATCTTAAAATAGGTACAATTTAAGAGAAAAATAAAATTAGATAGGTATCATGCCAAAAGATTTCAGATATAATACAGAAAATGTATTTTATGACTACTTAAACCAGAAGAGTCTGTTATGTTTACCTGATAAAATATTCTTAATTTCTGTCGGTTTTCATTTGACGTATCCTTTTCTTTTCTTGCTTGTAGATCTGTAGTCAGTGTTTCCTTAACGGCTGAAAACATACACTTTTATATTTAAATGAAAATACTTGATTCTAAAAAGTGAAATAATATCTTGCCAAAATTATTAAATAATGATTTCACAGAATTGTACATTAGTAATTAATGTAATTTCTGTTCTTACCCTCAACTGCTAATCACACAAACAATCCTCTTAATCAGTGAATCAGAGCTAAGGATGGAGCTCAGTGGTAGAGTGTTTGCCTATCATGCACAAGGCCCTGGGTTTGATCTGCAGTAACTCAAAAATCAACAACAAAATAGGCCCGCAAAACACAAACCCTACATCCATGTCCTAACCCATGATAAAAATAATCCCAAGTTATTATGTGGCCACTATACTACATAAGCGCATTTCCAGGTCACAGTGTGGGTTTTATTTTTAAATGCTGGGGTTTGAATTCAGGGCTTCATGCATGCTAGGCAAGTGCTTTACCAGAGAATGGAGGTTTTTTCTTTTTCTTTCTTATTTCTGAAAAGGGTCTCAGCCCAACCTGGCCTCAAACTTGTAAGTTTCCTAATTGCTGTTTACAGGCATTTGCCACAATGCCTAACTAAGAGTATGGTTTTGATTGGTTTTTATTTTACCAGTGTACACCAGACAGCAGGCATCTACTAATTGTTAGCAAATTAGAAAGTTAAGTAAAAAGTGATGGTATTAAAATCACTCCAAATCCAAAGGATAGGCACCATTAAAGATTTAAGCTTATTTCCCTCAATCTTAGGGAAAAATACCTTTTTTTTTTTGGTGGCACAATTCTCCCACGTGTGTAATATTGTCAATTTCATACGTTCTTCTCAACTCTTTTACCCATTTCATTGGCTTCAGAGTATTTTGAGAAATGCCCAAACCACAATTTACTTCTTTTTATTTAATATAGTACATTGACCTACACATAATGACTACATGTGATGGGCTCATGTCAAAGATAACATCTTTTACGTCTTCTGCCTTTGGGCTGCGTATGTGTATCAAGTGGTAGAGTACCTGCCTTGTAAGCTTCTGGCCCTGACTGCAAACTCCAGAAAATTTTTTCTTTTTTTTTTTTTTTGGTAATGGGGACTTGGAACTTCACACCTGCTGGGCAGACACGCTACCAACTTGAGCCAAAATTCTGTATTCTTTACACAGATAAAAATAAATGGATGCTCTCAGGTCAAGGAGTGTTCTCACTAGGTAGATATAAAATGAAACCACTACAAATTAGGACTTAACCCAGCAGAGAGCTAACTCCATTTGTAAATGCTTTTTCCTCTTAAAACTGCACTGGGGGTGGGGTGGCAGTGGAGGTGCCCACCCCGCCCCCAACCCAAACAATGTATACATATGTGAGTAAATGTAAAAACAATAAAATAAAAAAATAAATTAAAAAAACCCAAAAGAACCTGCACTGTAGGGTTAGGGACATGACTCAAGTAGAGAGTGTCTGCCTAGCAAGCATGAAGCCCTGAGTTGAAACCCTAGTACCATCAGGAAAAAAACAAACAAACAAAAAAACAAAACACTAAAACAAAAATTTTAAAATGCACTGTAAACCAGTCACTTTCTTGTGAATCTGTGGCAAACTTATGTAGTAGTGGAAAAACTTGTTCTAAAATAACATGAAGCTATCTATAGACCCAACTTGGAGGTGTTTCAGAATATATGGCATATAACTCATAAATATGCTCGCAAATCCCAGACACATCTGGCACAAAGATTCTGAATAAAAGATTGTTGATCAGAACTCAACACAGAACTTTAGGAAGAAAACCCAAATTACTATGGTTAATAATCTATTGCCTAATAAGCCAAATAATATTTTCTAAAGAATAATTACATGAACAAAATACAAATGAATTACTCCAAAACATAAGATCTAACTTTGAAGCCATTATTTTGATAACAATGTTGTTTTTACCAATAGTTTGCGTAGGTTTAACTGAGCCAGGCTTGTTTTCTTGGTGGAGACTCTCTGAATTTCTAGTGGCAAGAGGCTTAGCAATAGGAGCTGTAGACTTATCATTGGTTTCTCCCGTCCAACGAAGAGTGAACTGCAATGTAGGTCCCTGAGAAAATGTTTCAAATGGAGGCAGCCTCTAAACAATAAAAACACAAAAAGATTCACATAATGATCTGAAAGTGTACGAGTTATTTTTTTAAAAAATCATTATATGCCAATGTGGATTTGATTTAAATCAGAATTTTTTTTGAAAGTACAGAAGCCAACAGCGATGGTCAAGCAAAGTACTGAGCAGTAGACACTATGTGACTGAACAGCTCAGGCTGTATAAAGCAGTAGTTATTATAGTAACAGCTGAATTGTTATGTGGAAACAATAACCCAGTACAGCCAGATTTTCAGATTTTTCTTTTCTTTGAGATAGGGTCTCACAATGTAGCTTAAGCTGACCAAGAACTCACAATCCTCCTGCCTCAGCTGCCCAAGTGCTAGTATTACAGGTGTGTGTCACAAGCTTAATTCAGAGTTTTCAAGAGTCAGAAACCAGCCTTCAAGAAACTTTCCCATTTTCTATGTGGATAACCAATTCTAAATGTCTTTAAAATAAAGCAAAAGAAAATTGTGGTATCCAAAAGCCAGCCTACTTTCAACCTTTGATCATAGGTACCCAATTCCTTTTTATTTTTTCCTTTTTGTGAATTGAGCAAGTTTTACAATTAGTAATGTTCCTTGGCTACTCTCAGCCTGAAAATTTCTTCTGTTTTGGTACACTAAATTATCTTAGCTCTCTACCCTCACCTCAAATCACTTGTAAGATAACTCTTCTTTGGTTCCTTAGTTCCTAACTAACCATCTGACCCAATGTCTCACCCATACCTGAAGACACTCAGGAGGCAGAGATGAGGAGGATCAAGGATTAAGGCCAACCCAGGCAAATAGGTCACAAGACCCAATCTCGAAAAAATCCAACACAAAAAAGTGCAGGCAGAGTGGCTCACATGGTAGAGCATCTGCCTAGCAAGCATTGAGGCCAATTCAAACCACAGTACCAATAAAAACAAAACAAAACAAAACCAAAAAACCAGTAATTAGCAATTAACCAAAACTGGCTTAACAGGACATTTACATAAAATACCACAGATGTTTTTTTAAAAAATAGTGTATCTATGGGTTCTAATTTAAAGAACATCTATTTTATATTGCTGCAAACAATTTTTAGAATTATCTTAGACAAATTGCCAAAAAGCAATTGCTGTAATTTCTTAGACTAAAACCTTCATATATATTCGTTTTATCTTTAATGAACATACTAAAAAAATTATAAACAGCTGCAGAAAATTCAAGCACTGTAGATGAATACACAGAAATGAAATTAGTTGAATTCCCCAATACTCAGTTAGCCACTATAATATTTATTTTAGAAAAAGTGGAATTATATATAATATTCCATAAAAATTTAAAATCATGGAAATTGTCTTGTCAAACTCTCTTTTTAAATGCTTATCTTTTTTAGATCTTATTTTTCAGCTAACCAATTGATACCATGAAACAAAATCGTAGAACTGCAATTGCTAATGACAAAATGCACACAATTTTAATTTTATACATATTATAGGTCTGCTTTCCCGTAAGGTTCTACCAAATTTATTCTGAGTTAAAAATATTACTTGACAGTATGTATCTCCACATCCATAATACTATAAACTGGGAAGCTTTTTAATCTTTGTCAAAAAAGTACTATCTTTTGTTTCATGTCTTGGTTGAGTATGTTTAATATCACTTTAGAAGCTTGCTGGCATCTCTATTTGTCCTTTTAAGAACTATCTGGTTTTTCTTTACTCATTTTTCTTACTAGATTGCTCTTTTTCTTATTCACCCCTGCCTCCTTTATTTTTCTGATACTAGGGACTAAACAGAGAGCCTTGAGCATATAAAGTATAAACACTATCCCAACTCCTTTCCACTTACAGATTTATAAAACTTACATGTGTTTGTAATATCACCATATTGTGAGATACAAATTTCATCAGCTAGTGAATCATTTCTGGGTCCCCTACCCCTCTTCCTTCCAGTGTTAGGGATTAAACCCAAGGTCTCAAGCATGTTAAGCACTCTACCACTCAAATACATCCCCAGCCTCTATCACTTTTTTTTTTTGTGGTGCTAAGGACTGATCCCAGAGCCTCATGCATGCTAGGCAAGCACATTACCACTGAGATACAGTCACAGTTCCATTTCTGTTAATTTCACATTTTTGTGGAACAGAATTTTTTTTTTTTATTGGCCATACTAGGCTTTGAACTTGGGGCCTCACACTTGCTAGGCAGGCACTCTACTACTTGAGCCACTCTGCCAGCCCTTTTCTTGTGTGTTGGGTTTTATCAAGATAGGGTCTCGTAAACTATTTGCCCAGGCTGGCTTCAAACCTCAATCCTTCTGATGTCTGCTTCTGAATAGCTAGAATTACAGGTGCGAGCCATTGGCGTCCAGCTGTTTCTGGCTTTTGTATCATCCTTACAAGAGTCTTTCTCACCTCAAGACTATTAACAACTTTTTCTGCAGTACTAGAATGTTAACGTTCACATTTATGTTTAAAGGCCTTCTGGAATTTATTAGGTGTAAGTTTATCTTCAGATGGCTAAGATCAGTTCTGTCACAATCAATATTCTTCCCCGTACAGACCTGTACACTATCACCTTTATCATACACTAAATTTCAAATAGACATGAAATTACTTCATGAGTATAGTGCAGTGATCTGATGATATATTCTTATATTATACAGAAAGTTTTCTGAGTGTGGTTTTGTTGTTGTTCTTGTTTTCAAATAGGATCTCACTACACAGCCCAGGTAGGCCTCAAATGTAGGATCTTCCTGCCTCTGCCTCCCAAGTGCTAGGGTTATAATCGAGTACCACCATGCTCAGTCCATTTTAAGTTCTTCAAACCTTATTCTATCTTCCCAAAATTTCCCTTGTACTATGAATACTAAGTTTTCTTAGTATTATTATATGTTATATTAACTTTAGACTAATTTTTAGGTTTAAAAAAATCCTTGAGATTGCAACTGCTACTGATCTATTTCAAAATGGCACACTTATATTCTGCTAAGACTGCCTACTGAGAAATAAATGCATGCTTATTTATTCCTTTATACTTAGGTATATTTATCTGACCTCTGTAAGTTTTTCTGCTGTTGTTGTTGTTTTTGCAGTACTAGGGTTCAAACTCAGGGCTTTGCACTTGCTAAGCAGGCATTTCCCCAGCCCTTTTTGCTGTAGTTATTATTCAAATACAATCTCACATTTATGTTAGGGTTGGTCAGTACCCTGATCCTATTTACACTTCCCAATGACCCGGGGATGACAGGCATGTGCTATTATGCCCAGCTTTTATTGGGTAAGAAACAAACTGTTTGCAGGCCTGGTTTGGCCTCAAACTGTGACCCTCCCAATCTCTGCTTCCCAGGTCAAAATCACCATGTCTGGCCCCAGATTTCTTGACAAATTTATTGCTAGTCATTACATGTTACTTGCTCTTACTACAAATAAGATTTAAAACAGTAGTTAACATTTATTGAGCACGTATTGTGTGACAGGCATATATTTTATTATCTCATTTGATCCATCAATTCTATACTTCATTCTATAGATGTAAAAACTGTACACCAGTAAGTAACTTGCAAAATGCTACACAACTCAGAGATCTGAATCAGGCAGTCTGTCTTGAAGAACAATGCCTTCAATGAAATCCTCTGACTAGATCATTTTACTTGTGTATTTCAAAGTATTAAAAAACAAAAGACTCTTTACTTCCAATATGAATTTGCATTTGGGGAAGAAAACATTAATCAAAAATGGGAGTTCACAACTGTAATGTGCTCAATCTTCTAAGTCAGTCCATACCTTCCCATCAAGAATAGTCTCCCATGTTGCTCTTTTCTTGCTTATTGGACATTCTTCCATTTCCTGCATGGCTACTTCATATTCCCCATCTAAAAGCTGTAAGCGCCTGTTAGACAAACACATACACTTTAAGGTAACCTGTGTGTTACTATGTACAGAAATTCTACAGCTTTAGATTTACACTAAGAAGCATTTATTAAATTTATATCTAGGAAGATTTAAAAATTTATCTATACTCAAGTTTTGACAAAATTCTTTCATGACTGTAACTGCTCAGATGTAACTTTAAACATTTAAAATATAATATTCCTAAGGTCTCAAAATCTTGTAAATTTTACACGTTAAATATAAAGCATGTGTGCAGGCCTCATACTTTTAAAACTAGGGTGACAGGCTGGAGATGTAGCTTAGTGATAGAGCACTTGCCTAGCTAGCATGTGCAAGACCCAGAATCACCCCTGCCCCCCAAAATGGAAATGTTACAATACTCACCTTATGGAACCACTAAGAATTATGTGTGTGACTTTTAACTACTATAAATGTTTGAAATAGAATCCTTTACTTTTTGATATTTGTTAAGTATACAAATTAATGATTATAATGTCAAACCTGGTAACAGGAATCTGATGGCATCTGGCACATATAGGTGCTGAATTAAGTATTTAATGAATGAATGAATACTGGTTGAATCAAATAATCAATTAAATTTTACTCACACGGTATATTTTATGTGCATATTGCATATGTATGCACATATAGTTTAAATATTTTTTCCCTATCTTTAAACACTGGCAACCACTTCAACATCAAACCTACCATGCTCAACAATTGATTGTACATACATATCAAGAATCTGGCTTGTCTTCAGCAATCTTAAGAAATCCTACTAGATTGTAAAATACTTATTGAATGTTTACTATGTACCAGGCTCATTTCACCTTCCCAACCACTTTATGATCCAGGTGCTACTACTCCATTTAAAGAAGAGGAAATTGAAGCACAGAAACATTAAGTAACTTGCCTTAAGGTCATATAGTGAGCAGACAGATGTAACAAGTGAATTCAGATAGTCTGTCTCTTAAGTCTAACTCTTAACACCAAATAATTTTGAGACTTCAAGAACTTTTGCAATTTCTCTGTGCTGTAATAGTTGAATTTACTTTTTCCACAGTATATCAACAAAGCTGCTCAACTTTCTATTTTAAAAGATAAGGAGGATTATGGTTCAAAGCCAGCCAGGGCAAATAGTTTGTGGGACCCTATCTTGAAAAACCCTTTACAAAAATAGGGCTGGTGGAGTGGCTCAAGGAAAAGGTCTTAAGTTCAAGCCCCAGTATTAGAGAAAAAAAAGAAAAAAGAAAAAAAAGAAATGCTGGCTTTACTTATTTAGGTAATGGAGTACTATATTCCCAAATGTAAGAGTGCTTCCCTCATGCTTTTACATGGCTACATAATATTCCATTTTGTGGTTGTATATTTATTGGTTACAATCCAATGTACTTTCCTACCTGTGATGCGTAAAGAGGTCTTTTGCCCCCTACAGCCTCATCAACAGTGCTTTATCAAGGGTTTTGGGGTGGGAGTGGTGTGTGTGTGTTACTGGGGTTTGAACTCAGGACCTACATCCTCCAATGTGTTTAAAACAACAACAACAAAAAAAAGCTGCATTTATTTCCTAGACTTTCCTTTACTGGTGCTAAGATGTTTCATTTCCAACCAGACTAGAGAGATGATTAAAGCCCTGTTTCCCCTTGCCACTCTGTGTCGAATGCACATGTAGCCACACAATGATTATATAAATTTTCTTTCTTAACTTTAGCAAGCATGTAACTACAATTTACACCCATTTTATTTAGAACTCTGTTCAAATATTTCTTCTTCCAGAGGCTTTCTCTATAAAGTTGTTTTTCTTCACAGCATGTATCATTAGCTGACATTAGTTGATACTTTGGTAGAGTGGTCTATATCCTACATTAAAAGTTAAGCCACAGGAAGTTAGGGACTCTTTGCTTCTCTATTGTACAGACTAGTGTATGGTAGAGAGCAGATAATACTTAGAAAATACTTGCCAAATAAACAATTTTAACTGAGTCATTCAAAGACTGTTATTAGTGCTTACTACTTTCTATATAATAAAAATTTGCAAATTTGTATTTCTATTCATAAGAATAAAGCACATGCAATGAAATCATCATTCAGCATTATATTCTGCTTCAGAATGAAGACATCTCTAGAACACTATAGAAACCTTACTTGCCCATCAATATTACCTATTTTTATCAAATACTGTCATTTGTGCAACAAATGTCTTTTCCCCATCTTCACGATTTCGTTTTCTTCTGGCTGGAAGTTCTTCATTGACATCTGAATTCAACAAAATGTGTTATAAATATTTGAACAAAAATGTGGTATGATTTATGGTCCCTTAACATAAAACATGCTACCTTTATCCCAAATAAAGCACAAATTAAAATCAAGTTGCAATATTTAGACCATACTTGTTCCCATTTTGCATTTTTACCATATGGGTATATTATTTTTTTTTTCTTTTTTGAGATAGGGTCTCACAATGTGTAGGATGTGACTTTAACTCTTATCCTTCTGCCTCAACCTCTTTGGTACTGAGATTACAGGTATGTACCATGAAGTGCAGCAGTCCTTACTACTTTTTGACATTCACTGATACTAAGTTCACACCTTTACAACTGCAAATTTCTGTTTAGAATGATGTTCTTCGCTAACTCATCACCCAAGGTTCTTTCTTAAGAATTTTCAGGGGGGAGAAATGACCCAAACATTACATGCATATATGAATGAAAGAAAAAAAAATTAAAAAAAGAGAATTTTCAAAGGACACTTCAACACTCAATGATTACTTCTCCTAAGGTGCCTCCATTGACCTTCACATATACCTTTTATTACTGTACTCACATTATACTGCAATTATTTTTTTCATGTCTGTCTACCCTAGCTTATGAGCTTTTGGAGACTATTATCAAAACACCTTTGTTAGCTGAATGATTACTGCAATGATTAACTCAGAATTTTTCAAATAATCAAGGGATGGATAGGAGGGATCAACATGTAGATAAATATAATAAATTATTCATGTTCAAGCTGGGTGCGGTGGTGTGACTAACAGTCTCAGCACTAGGGAGGCTGAGCTAGGAGGATCACTTGAACCCAGGAGTTTGAGACCAGCCTGGGTAACACAATCAGACCCCATTTCAAAACTAAAAAAGTTCATCTTTAATCTGAATAGGGAGCAGGCAGGTATTTATTACAAAATTCTTTCAACTGTTCATTCTGTTGGAAAATTTTCATTACAACATGTTGGAAGCTGGACATAGTGGCAAACACCTGTAGTCTCAGTACTCAGGAGGCTCACCTGAACCCAGGAGTTTAAGGCCAGCCTGGCAACATAGAAAGATCCCATCTTCCCCCCAAAAAAAGTAATCAGGGGAAGGATGAACTCATCATTTACTGAAGAAATTAATTTAAAATACCAGCTAGAGGTAGAGAGTTTACCCATCATGTGGGAGCCCCTGGATTTGATCTCTAGCACAGCAAAATAACAATATAATGCCAATCCTTCCAACTTTGAAGGCAAAAATTTAAAATATCTCAAAAAGAAATAAATACTTTACAGTCATTTTCATTGACTACTTTAATCTCTAATGATAAAGCCCAGTTAAAGCCCAGTAAAATTTTTGAAATGAAAATTACCAATATTTTCATTGGTTTCTCCATTAATCATTCCATTAAACTCTCTTCTTCCCGGACGAGTCACTCTAAATAGCAATGAGTAAGACTTCACCATATGGCTGTTACTAGGTTCAAATTCATTACTGGAAACTGCAAGGGACGGGAAATTTCCAGGTTTTGTTTGATTGAGGTCGGGATTCAAAGGCACCTGCTTTTTACCTGTGGGAACTTGCCTTACTGGACAACTTACATCCTGCAAAGGTAAAGATTATTAAATTATATTAATATACAAGCAATGATAAGAACTGCAATAAAGCTATTAGCTAATTACAACTATGGGAAACATGCTACCCAAATGGCATCTTAAGATAATCATAGTTCTGAAAATTGTGAAGCAAAATTAAAATGGAACTATATTCTAAATGTTAAAGCAATTGAGGATTCTTACAATACAATGAAAATAATGATATAATATATATATATATATAAAATATTTAGCTGGTGGTCCTCTGAAATGGTGTAACTTAGAAACATGGAATTAAGGTTGGTGATATAGCTCAGTGGTAGACAGCTAGCCTAGCATGCATAAGGCCCTGGGTTCGATCACTACTACCACCTTTTAAAAGAAAAAAAAATACGGAACTAGAAATCAAGCTTAATATTAATGTTGAACTCATGTAACTTCATTGTTTTCCTTAAATTTTCTATTTTAATACAACAACAACTGATGGGACCATTAGAAATGAAACATAAGATGGGTATCATAAGCTCCCAATCAACATTATGGAACAGTAAATATGTTTAATTTTTTGTGTGTGTGGTATTGGGGTTTGAACTTAAAGCCTTGTGCTTTGCTAGGCAGGCCTCTACGATTTTAGCCATTTCCCCAGCCCATAAATAAGTTATTTATAGAAGCAATGTTGATCATCTGATTTTTCTAATTTTTGCGGTACTGGGGCTTGAACTGAGGGCCTACATCTTGAGCCACTCCACCAGACTTTTTTGTGATGAATTTTTTTCAAGATAGGGTTTCAAGAACTATTTCCCTAGGCTGGCTTCAAACCTCCATCCTTCTAGGTAGCTAGGATTACAGGCTTGAGCCACGGGCACTTGGCTTGAGTAATATTCTTTTACATATAAATAGCTATGCTGACAGCATGGTACAAAAAAAGTATACAACATATTTTATGGTAGCTTCTTTTTTTGTTGTTGTTTTTGAGACAGGGTCTTGCTATATAGCCCAGAATGCTGGCCTAGAAAACTCACAACCCCTACTTCTACCTCCTAAGTGCTGGGATTCTAGGCATGCACCACCACAACCTGGTTTTGGCAATTTCATTTTTAAAAATGAAAAGAATATATATTCACAGTTTAAAAAAATTCTACTCTACAAAAGGATAAAACAAGAAATATGTCTCATCCACACCCCAAGTCCTACACTCTATAAACGACTAATACTAGCGGCTTTGTTTATCTTTCAAAGAAAATATTTATGCTTGCTATTTTGTTTTTGAAACAAAAAATGGATCATACTATACTTACATTCACATTTTTTTTCCTAAATAATTTATCTGCTAGAATTTTCACTTCTCTTCTTGTCATAAACTATATGGAGGTTGAAGAGAAGGAGCAGTGTGTTCTAACTTTACATAAACTTAACAGTTGCACCACCACCTCCTATTACCTGAGTCCACTCCCTACAAGTGCTCCAGCAGTTTCTAAGCCCCTTGTCACCTTAGTATGATCTTGGAAGAACATCAACAATAGGAACCTCTATACAGGTCAGTTCCTGCTCTTCTTAAAAACTGAAGGATTCAAGACTACTAAACATGTATCTGATAATTTTGGTGGGTAGCCCTGGAAACTTTACTGTTATAATATTTGTTTCTATGATGAAGTAATTTCATCTTCTAAATAAAAAATTGAAGCAATGTATTAATAAGTTAATGGTAGTGTTTTAAGAGATAACCCTTTTGGGAAAAACTCTCAACTCTTATCTACGATGTTAATGTATATTAATAGCTAAGGGATAAGCTAATAGACAGAAATGATAGTAAAACAACTGAATTCATGTCATAAGGCCATAGCTTCTTCCTGACTCCTACTGGAGAAAGTATAGACACCTAGTCAGACTAGAACTAACACAAAGTTGGCAAAAGAGGTTACAGTTTACAATTCAGCCATTAACATATTTCTTTAACTCTTTAAGGTTTTTAAAACTAGCTTTGAAATACAACGTATGCATGAACATGTTCAATTAAAAAAAATCCAGGCTGGCAGAGTGGCTCAAGTAGGCCCTGAGTTTAACCCCAGTATTGCCAAAAAAATTATTCCACTGGGCATGGTAGTTGGTGTGTGAGGCTGAGGCATATAGGTCAAAATTTCAAAGCCAGACTGGGCTACACAGAAGACCCCAGTCTCAAAAAACCAAACACAAACAAAAATTAGTCTTTTTTTTCAAAAAGTATCATTTTACACATTACCTTTGGACTGGGAGTGTGGCTCTAGTGGTAGAGCACTAGCCCTGAGTTCAATCCCAAGTACCACAAAAAGAAGGCAGCTTATACATTACCTTTCTTTTTTTGTGGCAAACTTTCACAAGCAGGACTTCCAGGGTAACAGAATTTTGTTCATTTTCTGAGTTTTGTGATGGCTTATCTAAATAAAAAATCAATACTTTAAAATCTACTTTAATATATAAACACAGTATTCATTTCCCATTTTCCTAAGAAGTCTGGGAATTTCTTTTTCTTTCTTTTTCTGGCAGTAGCGGGGTTTGAACTCAGGTACTCACACTTGCTAGGCAGATACTCGACCACTTGAGCCATGCCACTAGCCCTTTTTGCTTTAGTTATTTTTAAAATACGGTCTCACATTTTTGCTAGGGTCTAGCCATGGAACCCAATCCTCCTACCTACAGACATGTACCACGAGATGGGCTTACTAATTGAGATAAATGTAACTTTATTGCCCAGGATGGTCTTGACCCCAATCCTTCCAGTCTCTGCCTCTAGCAAGTTTAAGACCCTGAGTTCAAACCCCAGTACCACCAAAAAATTAAAAGTAAAAAATAAAAATTTTGACAAGTACAGTTTCTTGGCAGGAAGCAGGAATGAAATAATCCTAGAAAAACAACCACATATAAAAAAGTTTTTACTCCCCTTCGGAAATCTATTAGAAAATTTATTTAAGGTACACTTAAGCTAAATTAATTACTATTATACGTTTAATTATGAATGTAAAGAGATATGAAACTAAGAAGGTCTTGATCTGACCACAATTTGTGACTAGAGATTAAAAAGGGGATTTCAAAAGGTATTAAACATTATAAAATGGCGATACTTAGTCTTTTACCAAAATTATTCTGAGTCTAAATTAGATAGCAAAAATTTAGTTATCATTTACTACCTAGGGGAATCCCAATTTCCAAAATTTAGGAATTTTAGTTTTGAATAATTGTGTATGTGCTATGTCAATTAACAAAGGCTTTGCAAATTAAGGTCCCATGCTACTCTTCTATATATTACTTGTTTTTAAAATGCCCAAATTGTGAACCGTTCAAACCTAAATATTTAATCATTAAACTTCAGTAATATACAATAGAACTATTATAATAGATGAATCTATCGAAATATATCAAAACAAAATCACTTTGTTCTGAGATTTTAGACAACATATTTTCCTACTCAAAAACAACAGTCTGGGGAACGTAGTTTAATGATAGAGTGCTTCCCTAGCATGCTCAAGGCCCTTGGTTAGATCCCCAGCACCACAAAACAACAACAACAAAAAAACAATTTTATACAGAACATATGCACAGAACATGTCTGAATCAGTCTCCTCAGAAGTTATAATCAGGACAACCACACTTTAATATAGTAAAACAGAATCCACTGTCCAAAACAGTAACAAAATCACTGCCAGAATGATAATCATCATGAGAATAGTACCCTCATGATTTTTTTTGGTGGTACTGGGGTTTGAACCCAGGGCCTCACAATTGCTAGGCAGGCGCTCTACACCTTAAGCCACTCCACCAGCCCTTTTCTGTGTTAAGTATTTTCAAGATAGGGTCTCATGAACTATTTGCCTGGGCTGGCTTTGAACCTCTGTACTCCTGATTTCTATCTCCTGAGTAGCTAGGATTATAGATGTGAGCCATGAGCACCCAACCCTAGTAACTTTTTTCAACAAAAGAAGCAATATATCTACTCTTTCCTAATCCTTCTGAACTTCTACTAATTTCAAAATTATGATGGGAAATTATTTTGAGAGAACAGAATTATGAATAATTTTCCCTTTTTAATAATATGAAGAAAAAACCAAAAGCCTGAAATGAATTTGAGTAATTTTCAAACTACATATTTTCTCACATACACAGGAAAAAGTTTAATAAGACTGTTTCTCAAAGATGTAATTTCAGTGAGAATTTGTATATTTTAAACAAATCCCTGGAAACAAAGGAGTAATGAACTTATAGAAGTCAAATTATGAACTTCCCAAGTATTAGACTCCATATACTTTAAAAGTACTATAGAAAACCAGTATGGATGATTAGAAATAAAGATTCCATCATACAATTCTAAATTATTAAGGGTGTAAAGGACACTATTCAGATTACTTCTCTACTTAAAAACAAAAAAAAGCAGCTATGGGCCATATCTAAGGCAAAAACTAAAGACTGCATTAGTTAAGAGATATCATCAGATTTAAAATTTCTTAGATAAAAGACATGACTGGTTATCAACCTTTACTGTGATAACTATTTTATTATTAAACCTGGTTTGTTTGGTTTCCCCCCCCCCTTTTCTTTTTCAGTGCTGTAATAGAACCCAGGGCCTTGGGCAAGCTAGGCAAGAACTCTACTTCTGAGTTACACCTCCAACCCTTTAAACTTTGCTTCTTATGGAACAATACTAACGAGAACCAACCTGGCATGTTTCCAATAAAGGTTTTATTACATTACATGATAATTAGAGGACATATGCAAAAACTTAAGGACAAATTAACAACTATAAAACAACTATACCTTTTCCCAGCATGCTTTTGGCCTTTCCTGAAATAACATAAAATACTATTTAATTTCCTTGATATGATACTGATATAGTACTAACATCCCATTGATAGTAATGGTTAGTAGTTCAGTTTTATTTAATGATGTATTAACATCAACTCAAAATGTTTATGCAGAATAGATATTAAGGAGATTCTTCACCTATCCTAGTTCTAAGGCAATTAACCAATTAAAAATTTAATCAGTAACCCTTATAACTTTAGTTCAATAAACATTATCAGAGGGCTGAAGGTGTTGCTCAATGATAGAACACTTGCTTAGTTGAGATTATAGGTTCAACTACCACAAAACAAAAGTTCAGTACAAAACAAACAAAAATAAACAAAACAAATCGAATAAACATCATTTCCATTACTTTAAAGTACATACCGTTTTTGTGGAAGAAACCAGTAAATGTAAGCTGCAAATGAGCTGACAAGCTAAATAAAACAACAACAAAAAATTGTCACTTATGGCTCTGTAACAAATAAACCTAAAACTTCAAACTGTGCCACTGAGATTAAGCTACTACATCTAACTTACAAGCATCTGATTTTCTCTTTTTTTTTCTTTGAGACAGGGTCACACTACATAGCCCAGGCTAGCCTGGAACTCTGCACTACCACACCCTGCTACTCAGCCCCATGACTCTAGACACTATCCCTATTAAGTACGACATCCAAAACAGTCTGTCTATATTCTAAACAAAACCCCACAATTCACATTAAAAAAAAAAAAATCACCACAAATGGAGTAAGGCAGAAGAAAAAAGAGCATCAAATAAGGTCATATATTTTACTGTGCTTTAGTAGCCCTACCTGTAAAATGGAAGGCTTTTTTTCCCTATTTTACAAAAGGTGTCTGATAAAGGTAGCAGAATCAATCAAAAGTATCTGGATATTTTAAAGCAATGGACACCTTAACTTCCTAACCAATGATACAGAAAACCATCACTTTACATTTCAATTAGGATAAACATACATAATTACAAATCTGCTATGTATCTATAATGTACTATTTCAACATGCCACTTTTATTTCCAGCTTTAGAAACTATAGAAAAGGAAGGGTAAATCAGTGATCCTTTGTTTTGAAAAAAATGTATGAACAGTGGAAAAACTATTAGGATGGAATAAAATAAACATCAGTAGGCTTTTGTAGTACCTTTAAACTGCAAAAAAGAATAATCTCATTTGTGGCATAGTTTCTACGGTGTGATATAGACAGAATCCAGATTACATAGGGCTAGATAGAAGAGATGATGGGGAAAGGAAAGCAGTTCTGATCCTGTACTCAAAGAAATTTACTGGAGAAAAGAAAGTAATCAGTAATTACAGGGCAATGAGGATCAGTAAATCCAAACTTCTGGATGTTTTGTGATGGCATCTCTAGGGAAGATTAGATGAGGGCTCTGACCTAATGAATACTTAATCTTTTCATAGATTCATAGTAAGATGCCATTATAGGAAGGTGGTGAAAGGTTAAGTGGGACCTAGTTATAAAAAAATAGATCACTGGGAGGCATGTCCCTGGAGACTCTATCTTGCCCTGCTGGCCCCTTCCTGTATGCCTTTCTCTGCTTCCTGGCCCACCAAGTGGACTGGTCTGCTCTGTGCTGCCAAACCTTCCCCACCATGACATACTAATACCTCTGAAACCAAGAGCCAAAATAAACCATTCCTCCACTTAAGTTGCTCTCTCAGGTATTTTGGTCACAGCTACATGAAAGCCAACTAACTATGTGTTAGTTTTTAAAATAATGACAATCTAGGTATTTTTATAGCAAAAAGACACTGAATGTAGAGAGTGTTAAGGGAAAGTAATGACTGGAAACAAGAACACACTATAGAGTATCTGTTAAATTCTGCCCAAGAATCCTTCTTTTCCAAGATAAATAAAAGGAAAGAAACCAGATGTCAGTAGTTCACACCTGTAATCCTAGCTACTTGGGAGGTTGAGATCAGGAGTATGGAAGATCAAGGCCACCCTAGGCAAACACTTCTTGAGACCCCATTTCCAAAATAACCAGGGAAAATGGACTAGAGAAGGGGGGTGAATTCAAGTATGATATATTTGATATATTGTTAAGAACTTCTGTAAATGCCACAATGAATCTCCACCCAGCACAACACATTAAAAAAAAAGGACTGGAGATGTGGCTCAAGTGGTATAGTGCCTGCTTTGTAATCATAAAGCCCTGAATTCAAACCCTAGTCACACCAAGAAAGAAAAAAAAAGAGGCAAGTAAGATATTTCAATGAAAGACTCTGGGAATGCCTTTATCATCTAAGTAAACCATAAACCTGCTCAAAAAAAAAAAAAAACAACAACCAGGGTAGGGGTATTGATGGGCATTTCTAGAATAGAACTAAGGAAAAAATGCTGGGATATCAGTAGATGACAAAGTAACTATGGAAGAGCAGAAGTATAGGGGGTTGAAGCAGAGTTAGAAAGCACAAATATTAGGGACTAGTTAACAACCACAACTTAAATATCAACAGAATGGTATACAATGGGATTCTTAAAAACACGTGACCCTGTTGGATGCCAGTGGCTTATGCCTATAATCCTAGCTACTTGGGAAGTTGAGATCAGGAGGACAGTCAAATTAGTCTATCCTGTTCTTAGTTGGTTCAATTAAACCTACATACTATAAAGTCAGGTTAATTTTCTTTTCTTTTTTTCATTGCTGCTGGAGGACTGAACCCAAGGCATCACATCAGGCTTAGTGTATTAAAACATCATTTTGTATTTATAATCCCCTTTGTAATTTGTCTAGTTACTGTCTATTTTTTTTATTACTTACTTTGGTTTTTGTGATAGGGTCTTGTCACTACATAGCCCAGACTAGAATCAAACTTGTGCTCCTCCTATCTCAACTTCACAAGTGCTGAAATCACAGATATGCACTACCATGCTCAGTTTCTTCATTTCTTATTATCTTTACTAAATTTTTATATGGGAAAATAGAACCTAGAATGGGAAAATAGAGACAAATCCAAGTTTGAATTCTAGTTTTAGTTATTAGCTGGGACATGTTATCTTTAAAATAAGGATGCTATCTCTCTCAAGATTGCGAAGTACATAAAATAATAATGTATCCAATAGTCTCTTCCTCTTCTACTAAGACACCAATTTCAATCATCCACAGTTTAATGATCACCTTTCTTTTTTTTTTTTTTTTTTGTACAGGAGCTTGAACTCAGGGCCTCACACTTGCTAGGGAGGCAATACAGCGCTTGAGTCACTTTGACAGCACTTTTTTGTGTTTGTTATTTTTGAAATAGGGTCTTGCAAACTACTTGCCTGGGCTGGCCTCAAACTGCAATCCTCCTGATCTTTGCCTCCCGAGTAGCTAAGATTATAGACGTGAATGAACCACCAGCACCCAGCTAGCCAGCTTGTCTTTCTCTTCTCCATTTCAAGCACAAACATCTGACAGCTCTGAAGCAGTCTACCAAATGAGGTTAAGTAAATTCATAAAGGGCTGGAGGCATGGCTCAAGTAATAGAGCATCTGCCCAGACAGTACAAAATCAGGTTCAAACCCCAGTATTACAAAAAATAAATTCTTAAGGGACTAACACTGAAACAAGACTCACATAAGAACCTCAAAGTTTAATAGCCAGACTCGAAGAGACTAAGACTAGTACCTCTAATCTATACACATTAATCTGAAAGTGGCAGGTATAAAGCTTCATTTCTAGGGTCATGGCCATATTACCTCAAAACAGGACAGGTTGATAAGCTACTTGACATCTACACTGTTCAATGGGAGTCACTCAACTTTTCTTACACGCTTTATCCTCTGATATATAAAGCTGAGCAACTGGTGATTACATTGTCAAGTCCATTATCCTAGAATCTAAGGTCCCAAGATACAGGGTTCAGACACAGATGGAAAGACTTTATAATGAAAAGATTAAAATGAGGATGTGCACGTCTATTACATGTAAATGGATCATCTTCCAAAATTACTATAGGGAAAACATAAAGGAACTGTTATAAACCCCAAAATTATACAAAGAACATTTTGCAAACTCTGTAGGAGATGGTGTAACTCGGTGGTAGAGCAGTTGCCTAGTATGTGCAAAGTGCTCAGTTTAATCCCCAGCACAACATAAATAAATTTGCTCCAAAATACCTAGATTTTAAGAATCAGTTATCCTCAGTGGCAAATGATAAGGCAATTTCAGGAAAAATTTATGGCCCAGATTCTGAAAAAAAGAATTTAAACTCAAGAGTGAAAAGATGCCAATTTGAAACAACTTCAAAACTTAAAGATGGAGTGTTTTTAAAAAGTAAAAACCAAAATACATTAGGGAAATAGTTTTAAAAAATAGTTTAAAAATGGAGCTATATCTACAAAACAGAAGGATAGAGGAAAAACCAGTAATGTGATGGTTCTACTTAAAATAATTCAGTGGAGTCAGGCACTGGTGGCTCACACCTATAATCCTAGCTACTTGGAAGGCTGAGATCAAGAAGATCAAGGTTCGAGGCCTACCCCAGACCCAGTTCTGAGACCCTATCTCCAAAATAACTAGAGCAAAATAGACTGCAGGTGTACCTGCAGTGGCAGAGCACCTGCTTTGCAAGCATGAAGCTCTTAGTTCAAACCTCAGTGCCATCAAAAATGTTTAGAAAAAAATGTTTAGAATGTTTAGAAAAGATTAATAACTCTAAAGATGACCAGTATATCTTCCTCACAACACATGTTCTCAGGGAAGCTATGTAATACTTATGAAAGACAATGGCACAATGAGATAGTAGTGGGGTTTAGCAGTGATGAAACAGGATCCTGACAGGGAAGATAAAGGAGGGGTCAAGTTTCCTTCTTATTAGCTCATTCTTCCTTTTCATTTGAAAATTCTAGAGGGCAAACTATTAAGGTGTCCAGTGAAAAGCAGGGAAATCAGACTGTGCTCTGATTCTAGGGGATACAGGTCAGAAGTACAGTGCCATTAGCATGCTCAGGAACCTGGGTTTGATTCCCAGCACTGCCACTACCCAAAAAAAAAAAAGCCCCAAGGAAAACAAGAGATCTGTGAAGGTGACCAGTCAGGATTTGCCTAGATATAGAAGTATAATTAAATTATAACTCAATCCTATAAAATTACAAGACTTTACCAGTCTCTAAAATAATCAGAAAGCACACATGAAGCATGCTTGGGTATATATTCTATTGGTAAATTGGTAAGATGATGATTTAAAACTTTGAGTAGTTGGGCATGGTGCCACATGTCTATAATCCCAGCACTTGAGGAGGAGGCAGTAGGGTAGATTTGAGGCCAGCCTGAGCTACATGAAACTGTCTCAAAAAGTAAAAACTTCAAGAGAAAAAGGAAAATACATAATGGTGAAATGTGCAACTCCTTTTAAAAGGACTACAGGGATATAGGTCAGTGGTAGAGCAGCAGTCACCTAACATTCACATGACCCTCGGTTTGATCTCAGGGAACACGGTATGGATAGCCAACATTTCTAGTCTTATATTCTCTCTAAAAGTAGCCAAGAATGAAGCCTGGAGGAATGACTCTAGTGGCAGAGTGCTTGCTGAGGAAGCACACAGTCCTGAGTTCAAGCCCCAGTACTGTCAAAAACAAATTTAAAAAAGTAGACAATGGCCTGGTGCTCGTGGCTCATGCCTGTAATCCTAGCTGCTCAGGAGGCAGAGATCAGGAGGATCAAGGTTTAAAGCCAGCCAGGGCAAAGAGTTCCCAAGACCCTATCTCGAAAAGAACCTTCACCAAAAAAAAAAGGGGCTAGTGGAGAGTCTGAAGGTGTAGGCCGAGTTCAAACCCCAGCACTGCAAAAATAAATACATACATACATACATACATACCAATCAAGTTCCTGATTCAGAATAAGGTTTAATTTTCTTTAGCTTATATGCCAAAGTTAAAGAAAAGCATATTGTCTAGAGTAAACAGAGATTAACTTAGAATATTTACGGATTAGTTCTGGTGATATATTTGAAAACACAAATAAGCAGATTTTGTCCAAAGGGTCAAATTCCTGAAACTATCATGAGAGAAACATGTCAAATATAAAACTATGAATAGCCTGAGAGAAAATGAGGAAAAAAGAGAAGATGGGGAAAATAAGAGGCCTCTCTCACATTTGAGGATAATTACTTAGAAGAGGTATAGTACTATGAAGCACCTACAGCATCGTAAGTGTACCATAAGAGTATCTACTACCTCGTTAGATGAGATAGTAGGATTAAAACCAACTGCAGAGTAGAATTTACAGATTTTGATTCAAGTCAAACCGGTAACAGAGATGAATGGTAATGAACCCAAATGCCTTGCCAAAGAGTGAATTCCCCAACATTGGAGGTGCTCAAGTTGAGGCTTAAGGATTCTCTGCCAAAGTTAATTCCTGACTTGTGTATGAATTTGGACCAACTGACCTCTAAAGTTCTTCTAACTCCTAACAATACTGAGGCGATCACTAGGAAAATGACTGTAATTTTTCCTCTTTACTCAAGTATATCATTTAATGTTAACTGATAGATTATCTTACCTATGAGATTCTTGTTCTCCTTTCATTTTCTCTACTTTTGATAACATATCATCAACTTTAAATGTTTTCCTGGAAGAAATAAACAAAATAATCATTTCCTCTCAATTGGGAAAAACACAAATTATGTTTTATTGTCACTATAATAAGCAAGGTGGAAGTTTCATTTTATTTTGGTATGGTAAATTATACATGGTTAGCCATAACAATGAATACCGAGACATTGTATGTTCTAATATAGCAGACAAGCCTTTAAACCCCATTTAAAATGCTACCTTTTTTATGAAACCTTTAGTAATTACACACCTATGACACTGCATTTACATTGATTTTTAAGTTTCTTACATGGAAAACATGGGTAAATATTTTATTTCTCCTACTAGATTATAAGCTTGTGAAAGGCAGTGATTGCTTTTCATTATGCATGCGGTTTTTGACATAGTTCCTTATTCTTGGTAGGTTATTTAACTAAGCCAAACAAATATAAATTATGTCTATTTTGAAACATCCACACTTCTACTTCATAGTAAGCAACACAACAAATGTGTACTGGCACCACCACAAAAAATGGATATTCTATACAATGTATCTGAAGTTCATAAGACATCTTAAACAATTATTGGCAAAGCCTAAAGTTAAGTATGCTATACTAAAGAGATAGCTGGGAAAGAAAAAAAAAACTATGAAAAAACTTAAGTCAGGGGACATACTCATAAAATCATAATAAAATGATATATTAGCTTCTAACCTGACATGCGTTAAGAGAAAAATGTAATTTTTCCACAAAATAGAATCTCAAGTAAAATCTCCCAAAGCAATTAAAAGAGCAAATGGATTATAAAACAAGCCTCATCATAACTCTCAAGGTGGTCTATAATATGACCTACAGATAGAGGCTAAGAATCTAGCCCCCATGTAATTTTTTAACTGGAAACACTATTTCTCTTTATAGTCTTATATTCTGTTCAAAGTTAGGACTTCCAGCCAAATACAACTACTGTATTCAACTACTACAATAAAAATCATCAGTAGAGAAGTATTAATGTACATGTATTACAGTAAAATAGAGGAAGAGCAACATTAACAGTCTGTATTTTAGGTAAGAATACTCTTCATTAACAAAAGACCTTTCAACAAAACCTTCCCTCTTATCTTTAGAGTAACCGAAAACATCAATTTTCACTCAACATAGCATAGTAAGAAGCGATTTTTAAAGGCTAACAATACATTTTCAATCTCTATAGATAAGAGAGTTACAAAAGACTATTCAACATGAATACTGTAAATTACCACTGAGGAAGGCTTTAAAGCTACTAGAAACTTTTAATAATGTTATCTTTATGTAATGATTATGAAGAAACTCTGCCTACAGGAAGAAAGGAACAACTATAAGTCCCAAGGTTCATTTCTTCCAACATTATGAAGTTTTACACAGAAGTGAGTAAGAGAACCGAATGGTAATAATCATTTGAAATTGATTAAGATCGTAAAGGCAACCCAGCCTTCCTTACCAAAAAATAAAACAAACCATTAGGAAAAAATAAAACAAACCATACAAGTAACCATACAAAAGCAGTTCCTCCCCAACTTTAAAAAAGCAACACTGGGTTGGACTATAGCTTGATATAGAGTGCTTGCCTAGCATGCACAGGGCCCTGGGTTCAATCCACAACACATACATAGACACACAGACACACACACACAGCAATGTTGAGGTGTGACTCAAATGTAGAGCGCCTGCCTAGCAAGTGCCAAGACACTAAGTTCAAACCCCAGTACTGCAAAACGAACAAACAAACAAAAACCTTATAGCCAGGTGCTGGTGGCTCACACCTATAATTCTAGCTACTCAGGAGGAAGAGATCAGGAGGATCGAGAGTCCAAGACAGCTCCAGCAAATAGTTTCTGAAACACTATCTCAAAAATACCCATCACAAAAAAAAGGGCTGCTGGAGTAGCTCAACATGTAGGCCGAGTTCAAACCCTAGAATCATTAAAAAAAAAAAATTCTGTAAAAAACTGCCAGGTGTGTAGGTTTGGTATTGGCTCAAGTGATAGAGCTCCTCCTACCTAGCAAGCATGAGACCCTGAGTTCAACCAAGTACCAGAAAAAAAAAAAAAAAGCCAGGTGCCAGTGGCTCACATCTGTAATCCTAGCTATTCAGGAGGCAGAGATCAGGAAGATCAAGGTTCAAGGCCAGTCGGGGCAAAGAATTTTCTAAGACCCTATATCAAAAATACCCAACACAAGCCTCCTGGTGCTTGCCACAGGCTGTGTTCTTACACTGACTGTATAGAAAAAGGAGGTAAAGTAAACATATCCCACATACACCTCAGCCCAGGCCCTGTGCCTGGTCTCTATTGTGAATGGGGAGATGTGGGAAAAAGCAAATATCCAACACCAAAAAAAGGCTGGCACAGTGGCTCAAGTAGTAGAGCACCTGCCTAGCAAGCATAAGGCCTTGAGTTCAAACCCTAGTACTGGCCAAAAAAATGCTCTGTAACTTTAAGATAATAGAGGAAACAGTTATCAAATGGTCACCCAAAAAGAGAATGATCAAAATTTCGAGAAATTTCTGAAAAAATTTTTGGAAGGGTTCAGAAGCAGCTTACATGAAATGTAATAAAATGGATTCAATAAAAGATGCCTAGCTGGAGCCAGGTGTCGGTGATGGTGCTGGGGCTTTACTCATGCTAGGCAAGTGCTTTACCATTGAGCTACATCCCCAGCTCAATATCCACTACTGGAATAAGCATTTTACTCCCTTTGATGCCATACTTTCAGTTGTAATACTCTGGTGTATTTTTAAAATTCATCTTGTACTTTAGTCTTACTTCATAGATATTCAAATTCTATAGGCTAATACTGCTCAGACACAATAGAAATACAGAACATCCTCTTTTGGTTTTGTTTTTTTCAGACAGGATCTCACTATGTAGCCGAGGCTGGCCTCAAATTCATGATCCTCCTGACTGCCTACCTCAGCCTCCAGAGTACTGGGAACTATTGGTTGTGCCATGCTCCAGTTGAGAAGGGCTTCTTTTTTTTTTTTGTGGTACTGGGGTTTGAACTCAGGGCTTCACATTTTCTAGGCAAGTGCTTATCACATGAGCCATGCCCCAAGCTCTTTTTGCTTTAGTTATTTTTCAGGTAAAATCTTGCAGTTTTGTCTATAGCTGGCCTCATACCATGATCCTCCTACCCCTGCCTCTCTCAGGTATACCACCATACCTGGCTTATTGGTTAAGATGTGGTCTCACTAAATTTTTGTCCTCAGCTGATCTCTTGATCTCTGCCTCCCGAGAAGCTAGGATTATAGGCTTGAGTCACTGTGCCCAGCTAGACATCTTTTTTTTTTGGTAGGACTGAGGTTTGAACTCAGGGCCTCACACTTGCTAGGTGGGCACTCTACCACTTTAGCTACTCTACCAGCTCTGTTTTTGTGTTACATTATTTCAAGATAAGGTCTCTCAAACTATTTGCCCTGGCTGGCTCTGAACCTCAATCCTCCTGAGTAGCTAGAATTATAGACATAAGTCATTCGCACCTGGCTAAAAAAAACCATTTAAAAATGGTTTTAAAAATCATTTTAAAATGATTAATCATTTTAAAATTAAAAACAGGTACCATAGGTAACAATTCAACTGTCCCAAACTGTCCCTATTAAAAATACTTTAAATGAAAGAAAAAAGTGAACTCATATTCTCCTAATTTTATGGAATAAATCAAGAGTCAGCAAACTATGCACCCCACTCCCCCAAAAATATATGGACATTTCTACCCTCCCCTTTTGGTGGCACTGAGATTTTTGAACTCAGGGCCTTATACTTACTAGGCAAGCGCTCTTACTGCTTGAGGGACTCCTCCAGCTCAAAATTTTTCTCTTTATATATTAAATACCTACATAATGTCCTCAATTTATTTCACTTCCTGGCTACAAAACCTAAAATATTTCCTGTCTGGTCCTTTACAGAAAAAGTTTGCTGAATCCTGGCATAGATCAAATAATGGCATAGACAGGCAAAGAGTTGACAAATCTAACTGTTGCCTAATTTATTACCTCCTTCCTAGTTCTTGCTGCCTAGCAAATCTTACCCGCTAAATGCGACTCATTCATATCCCTCTTCCATTTAGAAAGATTGCTAAAACACAAACAGTTTTAGCCTTTCAATCCTTTAATACACATCTTGAAGTATCTACAAAACTGTATCTGAGGCCAGCCACTAGCAGCTCACATCTGTAAGCCTAGCTACTTGGAAGGCTGACATTGGGAGGATCGAAGTTTGAAGATAATCCCAGCAAATAGTTGAGAGACCCCTCCCCCTTCCCCCCAATCTCCAAAATAACCAGAGCCAAATGCACTGGAGGTGTGGCTCAAGCAGAGGAGCACCTGCTTTGCCAGCAAAGCCTTGAGTTCAAACCCCAGTCCCATCAAAACAAACAAACAAAAAAACCTGTATTGTATCTTGCTATAGAAATGTGATGCTTGCTTAGTAACTATGAATCTCCCAACAAGTTTAGTTTTAAAACCTTGAAATAGTTTAATGATTTTATCAAATCAAGACTATAACAATATCAAACCCTTAATAGACGTTTTCTTTTTTTAAATCTGAACCTGTTCACTTGATATTCTCAACAAATATAATCTTACACTAGGTCAAGAAACTTGTATTCTACTATTGCATTTGGTTAAGTACTAAATATCACATAGCAAAAATAAGTCTGTATCGCACACCTCTGGACTCCGCTTTAACGCTAGATGGTTAAGATACTTTGATTTTTAAAACATTCCTATTAACTTCAAAAGTATTTCCCCTTCAATAAGAATACCATCAACCTGGCGCTGGTGGCTCCCCACTGTAACCCTAGCTACTCAGGAGGCAGAGACTGGGAGGGAGGACTGAGGTTTGAAGCCAGTCCAGGCAAATAGTTTGAGAGACCTTGTCTTGAAAAAAACCCATCAGAAAAAGAAAAAAAAAAAAAAAAAAAAAAAGAGCTGGTGGAGTGGCTCAAGATGTAGGCCCTAAGTTCAAACACCAGTACTGCCAAAATATAAAATAAATAACAAGAGATGCCCCTGTGGCTCATACCTGTAATCCTAGTTACTTGGGGGGCAGAGATCAGGAAGATGGATGGCAATAATTCATGAGACCCTATCTCAAAAATACCCAACACACAAAAACAAACAAACAAAAAATACCATCAAAGATACAAAGTGAGGTTTTCTAAATGTAAACTTAAGAAGTTAATCCTTCATTACTAGACATAAGAAATATTTTTAACTAGCTGCTAAATTTTATGTATCAAAGATTAAAGTTACTCTGAGCTCTGTAGTAATTATTTAAATCCTAGGCTTCTACCAAACTTAAGAACAACCAGTGGCACAAAGTAAAACCATGAATAAAATCACTTCATTTGCTTCCCTACTAAATAATTTCTATTTCAAAAAAACCTAGCTAATAAACTGGAATTTACAAAAATGATACTATTAAAAATTACAACCAATTCAACTAGGTGCTCTTTCACTTTAGTGTTCACATTTAACCTTTAATTAGACATAGTACCTTAATATAAAACTTTCAGATAGTTTGATCAGCTTAAAGTAAGAGTCACAAAAATGTACCTTTTGATGTTTGTTCTGGAGTTTCGATGAGACATGTAAGTAAGAGTTCTGTGCAAAAATATTGGCTATAAAAAAGTTTGAAAAATGTTAAAGTTAGATACAGGTGAAGTTGGAAGAATGAAATAATATTGGTAAATTTCATTGACTACTTACTGCTATGAGATTTCGAGTTCGAAGAAATCTATAGATCTGAGTTGGTTCTAGGTAACAGAAAACAAAATCCAAACATTATCTAAATGAACTTATTGCCTAACTTGTCAGGAACCTACCCAGCCCATGCTAGTCTACACTACATCCAATGTAAACTAACCGCTTGTTATGAAAAGAAGTACACTAAATATTTAGAATATTAAGAAAATGAATATGCAAAATAAGATCAAAAGACATTTAATCTGTAGCATACATTCCCAAAATTCATCTACATTTATTTTAAACTTAAAGATCTCCACAAAGTTGTTCTTAAACCTTTCTAAGGTAACCACTTATTCTGCAGAACTAAAGAATAGTAGTTTTGTTCATTTAATTTAACTATTTTATTTATAACCCATCTCCTCACAAAAAGTAGTTGGAATGAGATAGCTGCATTCAACAAAAGAAGTATTTAATGACGCCAAACAAGAAGAAAATCTCACTTTTTAATTGGCCATTTAAAAAATTGTATCGTATCCAGCTGAAATGGAATAAAACCAGTTACCAGACATCCTAATACAGGTAAGTCAGTATCACAGATTTCTCAATGAAGTTTCAACTCTAGTGTAATTTTTATGCATTTTGCTCAATGTAAATAATGCATCAATCTGTAAAAACTACCTCTCACACATATTTTTTGCACAACTGACAGCGTCCCAAAGCAATCTTTTATAATGCTTAAAATTTATTAAAATTCAATTTCTTATAAGAGACTTACTTAAAGTTGAAAATACATCCACATGCCATCATGCCAGTGATACTGACCTACTAGCATGTTTCTTTAAATAAGGCAGTATCAAAATAAATTAATTATATTAATAATACTAAGGCATTTAAACTTTCCAGAAACTAACATCAATATTAGGGAAAAGTTGTTTCCTGACCAGATTTAGCTTTTAATGACAGTTGACTTCTCCCAGGTGGAACCATCCAAAAGCAAATAGCTAAAACCTTCTAGGTGGATTTATTTTCTCATAACATTTAGAAAGTTTTAAGTTTCCACGTAATCTCCAGTTAGTTTTCGCTTCAAATTAAACTAAAAGATGAGACATTTTAGAAGAGACACAAACAAATACGCTCATTGTTACGACTGTCCTTCAGTTCTCTATATAGCCAATTACAGCCTTCCCAGTTTTTTGAAAGTATATCAAGCAAAAGAATAATGTGAATCTCTAGGAGGCAGGTTCAATATTTATCTCAATAAAAACCGGAATTCCTCGTATTAAATTCCAATTAGAATCTCATGAAGCACTAACGAGAGAGAATGAAGGAAGGACATTAAACAATGTAGTGTCTTTCCCAGCACAGCTGATACCAATGCCCTTAACATATGCCACGGATATCATTGTAAATAAAGACACTGGGCGGTAGAGCCGACTTTATTAAGTTTCCCGAAGACACTGGGCGATCCCATTACCCAAATTACAGCCTGCACACAAAAGCCAAAAGGAAGACAATCGGGATGGCACGGTCGTTCCACCACAGCTAGGCTTATTTATAGTCCTGGTGGTGTTGATAAATTCTATTGTTTGTTTGCAGGCACCTGGCTCCCCTCTCCAAGTTAAGTCACAGTCCCGCCCTCCCGGCGGCCTTTAAAGCACAAGCTGAGCTGGGATGCTGGGAACCGGGGCCGAGGGAGGCGCTGGCCTCAGTCTCCGTTTCCAGGCAATGGGCGGGCGGATCTGGAAAGCTTCCCGCAGCCAGCCCGGGTCGGTGACGATCGCGCCGGTCCCCGCGACACCCACACCCGGAACCCCGCTACTACCCGCAAGAACCCAGCAACTGGTCTGGGACCAGACCGCACGCACCTAATAACTGCAACGTCCCGGAACGCGGGCCCCGCAGCCCGGCCCCTCGTGTGACCCCCTCGGGCAGCCAGGGACCTGCCGACCCCCTTCCCAGCCGCACCCCGCGGGGTCCCGGGAAGTGGGGACATCCCCCACCACAAACACCACCTCCCTCCATCCCCCAAAGCAAGTGCCCCCCCACCTCCCAGCCCGGGAGCCAGGGGACCCAACCGAGTGTCCCGTCCCCCGAACGCCCGAGCGCCTCCCCTCCCACACACTCACTCTCAAAGGCCTGGAGGAAAAGCTCGTGGTCAGCCTGGACGTGCTCCATTTTCGGCTTCTTCACCGGTAACACCGCGGCCCCCGCCGCTGCCGCCGCCGCCGCCGCCGCCGCCGACGACGAAGAGGAGGAGGCCGAGTAACTGCCGCCACCTCCACAGCCCCCGCCGCCGGATTTGCCGCCCGAAGCTGCTGCCGCCGCCACCGCCGCCGAACCCCCGAAGCCGCCTCCCCCGGACCCCGCGCTGGGCCCCGAGCCGCCCCCTCCCCCACCGCCGTGCTTCTGAGGCGCCATCGCGGTTCCTGCCTCCTCCCCCCGCCAGCTACCCGCCGGGTGGCCCCGGAGAGTGAGCCGCCTGCAACACCAACCGCTCGCCCCAGCGGGCTCCGGCGGACCGAGGGGGGAAGGAGGAGAGAGGGGAGGAGAGGGGAAGGGAAGGGAGGAGGAGAGGAGGGAAGGAGGGAGGAAAAAAAAAAAAAAAAGTGTCTCCTCAGAGCCCCGCTCCGCTTCGGAGGCCGCTCACCCTACCCTGGCCTCGCTCCGCCCACTTCCCCGCCCGGTGCTCTGATTGGTCGGCGGGAGCGCGCGCCGCCCGGCCGCCCAGCCTGTTGGCCCGTGGAATCCCCCGTCAGTCACGCGGAGGTACTTCTCGCGGAGGCGCGGCTTGGTTGGCCCGTGCGCGCTGCCGATCGCGGGCCCAGCCGCCTCTTTGAACTGAATTCGCGGGAAAATTAGGGGTCGGAGCGGCCTTCCTGCTGGCCCCGGTGCATTGTGGGGAGAGAGGGACCTAGCGAGCTAAGGTTTAGCTCTCCGTTTCTCGCCTTCAGAGCGTCGTTAGTCACCGCCCCCCTGGGGGTGGGGGGTGAACAAGACCCTTGAAGTGAGGCGGGCGTCTGCGGAACTTGGGGGGCGAGGGATCTGTGAAATGAACTCAGATGCGTGGCGAATCACCGAGTCCCTAACGACTCAGGAAAGGGGGGGTGTGGGGTGTCTACAGTCGGGGTTGCCGCTCAGCTTGAGGGGCCCGCAGGGAGAGGATCGCGTCCCTGTCCCCTCGCCGCCACGTGCCCCAAGCCACCCATGGCCGAGTCCCACCCGGCTCAGCGCGGGTCTGCGGTGGCGGCGGCTGTCGGACGCGACTGGGCTCCACCTTCGGGAGCGATCTGTGTTGTGGCAGTCGTGCCTTGAGAAAAGAGGAAAACTTAAATTTTTGTAGGTGCTGTGAGGCTTCAGGATCGTTGCCGAGGAAGGTGTGGCTTCTCGGCGTGATGGCAGCAGAGTGATAATTTGGTTTTCCCCCACACACACTGCTGGCGAATGGGGTGGCTCGAAGTGCCGACGCTCTTCTTGAGAAACCCATTCATTTTGCGCTCAAAAACTCGAGCGGGTTTTTGCGGGTCTTGCTTGGAAAAGATCGATGCATAGGCCGGATTCAGATTTTTGGGACAGGTTGGTTCGGATTGAGATAGTACGATGAAAGATTTGAATTTCAGGTCGGACTAAATGATCTCTTTCCAAGGACGCTCTTCAACCCAAATCCTCTGATCTTACGATACGTTAAAAGGAAACATTATCTTCAAAAACCCCAATCAACAAAACAGAACCATTTCAGACTCTTGAGTCGCATTTTTCAAACGTCTACTTTGGGTTCTCTACAGGGAGCCACAAAACTGTTTACAAAACGGCAAGAAGAGTCTTTGGAGTGGTTATTGTGTTGGTTTACAAAACTAGTTATCTTTGGAATGGTTGTTTAAATATCTAAAGTACTGATTTTATCACAGCATTTGCTTCTCAAGAAAGTGAGCTCCACAAATGATGCATTCAATATAAAATTTGGCATTTGAGGGACACAACTGAAATCAGGTATACCTTTCTTACCTGAAATTGGGTATTCTTGTTGCTGGTTTTTAAGGATAGTCTATATTTTATATTCACACAAAAAGCTTAGGGCGCACTCTTATTATACTAGTCTCTATACTTTGTATGTGTCTTTAAACTCTCTTAAAAATAGGGTTTTTTTTTTTCATGTTTAGATTTCGAAGTAAGCCATCTTGTCTTCAGCCTTTTAGGATTAGTAAAAGAAATCTCATCAACTCAGTCATAGTCTGGAGCATTAAATCACTAAGCAAATCACAAAATATCAATTTATAAACCACAATGGTAATTTATTAACCTTAAAAATAACTGACAAAATGCTTGCTCTCAATCATTTGTTAGGGTTCTCCTGTTTTGTGGCAGAGAGGAATACAGGAAAAGATAAGAGTCAAAAACCAAGTGATAGACTATCAAATCTTTCACTGATGGAAAGAAGAATGGACATGAGGAATTTGGGGCATTCTTTGTGGTACTGGGGATTGAACCCGGGACCTGTACATGCTTAGCAAACACAACCACTGAGCTCCATCCCTAGCCCTGGGGCATTCTTAAAGGACATGTCAGGGTTGGGCATGAACAAGTGTACTGTTAAGTACATGAGAGAGGCACAGGAACGCATTCTTACTTGTGAGTTCTTTATCCAGAATATATGTAGAATATCAAAAACAATCTGTACCTCTGGCAAATTAGAATTAATTGAGGGACTATCTTAGTTACATTAATGTCTTCTTAATCAAGAAACATTTATAGATCATCTCCATCTCCAGACTGGCCTTATCTGGCTAGCTTGTTTATTTTGTTATTTTTAAATTTGGGTGAGAACGATTTGATGTTTGTGACGCCAGTTCCCTGTCAGTAACATGTAAATGTGTAATTCCCCTGATGTATACTGAATTTTGATTTTTTTGGGGGGTAGGGTGAGGGACAGTACTAGAGTTTGAACTCAGGGCCTGGTGCTTACCCCTTGATCCACGCTTCAGCCCTTTTTCTTCTGGATATTTTTTTTCTTTTTTCCTTCGTTCCCTTTTTTTTTTGAGATAGGGTCTTCTGAACTATTTGCCGGGGGATGGCTTCAGATCCTCCTGCTCTCTGCCTCCTGAATAGCTGGGATTACAGGTGTGAGCCACCTTGTCTAAGGGTTTTTGTTTGGTTGGTTTTGCCTCCATGCTATATTTGGAATTGAAATATAAACTCCTAAAAAGCAAAGGCCATCATATATTTCTTTTACATTTCCTAACATGACTAGGTATGAATGTAATGCAAAAGAATAGTTTAAGAATTGTTTAATCACTTTACAGCTGTCGTATGCTCTTATGGAGACTAGCCCACTTGTTCATAATGATTCTTTGCAACTGGCATTATTTCTATTTACAACTGACAACACAGACCTAGCAAAATTAAATGACTTTTTAAATTTAGTGGCATAGCTGTGACTTACACTCAGGTTTTCTAACTCCAATGTCTATGCTGTTGCAATCAGAAAAAATTGTCCTTAGTCTGTCTGTAAGGTTCCTTTTTGGGGGGAGGGGAGATAAAGGAGAATGGTGGAGGGGGTGACTTCAAGTATGATATATTTGATATATTGCAAGAATGTTTGTAAATGCTGCAATGTACCCCCACCCAGCACTACAATTAAAAATAAAATCCAAAACAAAGGTTTTTTGTTTGTTTGTTTTGTTTTTTTTGGTTTTGATTTGTTTTCCAGTTGGCACTGGGATTTGACTTCAGGGCTTGGGCTTGCTAGGCAGGCACTCTACCATTTTAAAGTTCCTTTTTTAAAAAAGCCACCTAGCCAGGCACCATTGGTTCATGTCTGTCATCCTAGCTACTCAAGGTGGCAGAGACCAAGAAGACCAGCCTGGGTAAGATAGTTCAAGAGACTCTATCTCGAAAAACTCAACACAAAAGAACTGGTGGGGTGGCTCAAGGTACAGGCCCTGAGTTCAAACCCCAGTAATACCAAAAGAAGAAGAAAAAAAAAGCCACCTAACTTCTCTTACCAAAAAAATCTTTTTTTTGTACTCCTCCCTATTGTCCACTCCACTCTCATTAGCACCTTACTTTGCTTGATGTAGATTTCTGTACTAGGATTTTTAACATTTTTTTTGTGCCATGGACCCTTTTGGCAGTTTAGTGAAGTCTATGGACCCCCTTTTTAAAAATACATAGATATGAGTGTTGCAGCTCTTGTAGAATTTGTTTAGTGGGTTTTTTGGCTTATGTCAGAACTGCCTCCCCCCCGCCAAAAAAGAATGCATAGATATATTAAACTACACAGAGAACCACTTACAATAAAATACTGTTACCAAAATAGTAAAACTAAAGTTGTGTTATAATACTATGCTTCTTGATGAATGCAGTAAATAAAATCTAGTATCAAGTTAGTGTAATAAATATCAACATTGCAAAGTAGGAAGCTGGGCACAGTGCTTCATATCTGTAATCTCAGCTACTCAGGAGACAGAGATCAGGAGGATTGTGGTCCAAGGAAAACCTGGGCAAAAAATTGGTGAGATCCCCACCCCCCCACCCCCCGATTTTGATAAGCTGTGATTAGAGCTCTGCAGAGGCATAGGTAGGATGACTGAGGTCTGAGGCTGGTCTAGAGCAGAACTTGAGCCCCATACCTGAAAAAATAACTAAAGCAAAAATGGCTGGAAGTGTGACTCAAGTGGTAGAGTGCCTGTCTAGCAAGTGTGAAGCCCTGAGTTCAAATTCCAGTACACACTCTCTCTCTCTCTCTCTCTCTCTCTCTCTCTCTCACACACACAAAAGCAAAGTATGATAATAAGTAACATTTTGAGATACTGAAAGAATTGTAATGTGATATGGAAATATCTCTTATTTTTCTTGGTAACAAAGCCACAGATACTGCCAACACTACTGTGATTAGTTAGTAATTGAAGGAAGTCTTAAAGTTCACTTAACAGTTCAATACAAATAAAGATGGAACTTTTTCTCATCCAAGTTCACAAACTGAATCCTATTCAATTTAAGGACACACTCTGTATGTGGGGGAGGTGTCTCTAGGGTAGAGTATATGCTTAGCCAAATAGTCCAAAGCCCTGGGTTCAATATTCAGCACCAAAAAGTAAAAGAAACAACCTCTCTCCTATGGCAGGAAATCTTCACTCTATTTGGCTATAAGCTCCTGGGGAAAGGCAGATGGATGATTCAGTAACTGACGTGTCTATCACTGTGTCTGGCACAGAATAGGGGCTCATTCATTGAGTGATGATGTATAAGGATGGATACCAGGGCACAAATGTAAATTATGATAATAATCAAGGTGCTTACTATGTGCCAGGCAATATGTTAAGTTTTTAGCATTTTTAGCTCATTCATTCTCCACACCAACCCATTTCATTGATGAAGAAACAATAGTGAGCTCTGTTAAGTACCTTGCACCTGGTCAGTAGTGGAGCTAGGATTCTAATGGAGACAGTCCATCTCTAGAAGCCTCACTCTTGACCATTGTGCCACAAAACTAGAGTTTAAGAGATACAAAATGTTGTACATATCATTTCTAGATCAGTAAATATTGCCTCTGAACCCTGGAATTAGTCATCAGTATGAATGCATTTGCCAAAACATAACAAAAATATCAAGTCTCCTTTTTACTTGTACAT